TATGATGGATATTTGCCATCAGAGCTCAGGTCAGAAGGCATCAGCGTGTGAGGACATGGACCCGTCATGTAGACATCTTTGACAAAGACTTCCTGTTTGTGCCTGTAAATCAAGAGTGAGTATAAGCTATACAAAAACAATGTTTTGGTACTTAAGCCATATTTAATTTTGTGGGCCAGTGTTTTTATTATTTTTTGTACTTTAAATCAGTTTCTGTTCATTATTTTGCGTTCACATGGACATATATTATGGACTTTTTTCACTCACTGGATTGTTTGCGTATGATGCAACTTGTGAGATTTAATGTGTCTGCCTTGAATGTACCTGCGTAAATCCTATTGTTTTCATATCAAGTCTGGTGTTTGTTTTAGAGCTCACTGGTACCTCGTGGTGATTTGTTTCCCCGGCTTAGAAGAGCCGCAGTATGTGAAGAGGGATGGAAGTGAAGGTTTGGGTGAGTCTGAGGGTGAGATACATGGAGAGAATAGATCCAACAGTGATGAGGACAAACATACAGGTAAAAATTGGACTTGAATGCTTTACTACTAAGCTACTCATGCTTACTACTAAGCTACTATGCTTACTAACTTTTGTTCTTTATTTAGATGACAGTCGTATAAAGTCAAGCACATCTCATCCTCTTGTAAGTCAAAATAAATGTTAATAACTGGCAGAAATCTGTTTTGGATTAAATTTAATTTGGTATAATGGAATATGGATAGATGATGTGCTCATACACAGCAATAGCAGAATTTTGTGCTTCTCTTTCTGTAGAACTGTACGGAAAATACCTGCAAAAGACACACTGTGTGTAAAAGGTATGTGTGTGTTTTTAAAGGGGGCATGAGTTACTTTTTTTTTTTTTAAATGTTTCCTGAGGTGCACTTACAATGTTAGTATGATTTTTACATTAAAAAAAAAAAACATAATTTAGAAATAAAAGGCCATTTTAGCCCTGATTTTAGTATCTGCTCAATTTCTGCACTCTCACAAATGATTTCATCATAACCAACACTTCAAACATGATGTAAATAAGCGTAGACAGCATCATTTATTATAAAGGAAGTCACTGCACTGAGACATTATTATAGTTGAAAATAAATAACCACTTTCCTTGCATCCTTTGGAAGGTGATGACATTAGTTTAGTCCAGTGATCCAGTATCTCTCTTCTCCTCATCTCATTATTGTGCCAGTGAGCGGGGGCAAAGATACGATTATGTAGAAGCAGGCATTGATTTGATTCTGCAGAGGCGGTCTTTCATCGCACTGTTATATTATAATATGCCAAAATCCAAAATGAGTTGTTTTCTGAGGTAAGATTCTACAGTATATAAAGCAGTTTTGAGTTCTGAAATGTAATGTACAGGATGTTTTTACGCTAATTAAAGATATTAGCTGTTATTTTCAGACAACTAATACTAATATAGTGTTAGTTGACATGTAGTTGCAAAGTTACTTATATAGGTAACACTTCATTTCCATGGTCCACTTTAAACATTCTAGTCTGCTAACTATAATTTCTATTAGGCAGCCTTTCAGAAAATAAATTTCACTGCTTACGTGTTAAATTTTATATTAACTAATTAATTGAAATGTTTAATTTAAGGGATTTGCCATTTAATGGGCAGAACATTTTTAATGTTGAGGATTATTTTACTCTTTATTTTCAGACCATGTATTCTCATAATGGATTCCCTGAAGTTGTCGGTTCATGAACGTATCTTCAAACTCTTGCGCGAGTGAGTTTGCACTCTGACAGCAGTCCAACTATCTCACATTTATTTCGTGTTATTATCATAATTGTTATGAATATATCTATTTTACATGAAGTGATTAATTTTAAGTCATTGTTTTTTTTAGATACCTTCAGGTGGAGTGGGTGACAAAGAGAGGTGGTTTTCGTGACTTTAGTGTTGACCACATGGTAGGTTCCCACTGTAAGGTCCCCCTACAGGACAACAGCAGTGACTGTGGCCTTTACCTGCTACAATATGCTGAAAGCTTTTTACAGGTAACTTGCACTCGTTCTTTATTCTGGATTTTCAAATACAAAAATGTGTGTAAGAATCTATTTTGGCCTCAAAGGCAACTGCAATTCTGTTTGTGTATCTTTCAGGACCCTGTGTTACACTTTGACTTGCCCTTGAGATTGGATTGCTGGTTTCACCGCCAACAGGTGCGAGGGAAACGGGAGGAGATTCGAGACCTCATCCTAAACTTATACAAATCTCAGAAAGGCTCTTTGGGAAATGAAGCTTTAGAAGATAGAACAGATTATGGAAATGTCATTCAGTGATGTTAAGCTTTTAGGTTCACATGATTATTTTACCCTAGATGTATATGTATATAAGGGCTGTGCAAAGATTAATTGCGATTAATCGCATCCAAAATAAAAGTGTTTGTGCTGTGTATAATTATTATATATATATAAATACACACACATGCATGTATATATTTAAGAAAATGTGTTGTATATAAAATATTTATATTTATATATAATATAGATTATGTATTATATATTATATATATATATATATATATATATATATATATATATATATATATATATATATATATATATATGCAGTATTTACATGCAAATAATTCTTAAATATATACATGCATGCATATGTATTTTTATATACAAAACAATTATACACAGCACATTCATATTATGTAAACTTTGGATGTGATTAATCGCAATTAATCATGCACAGCCCTAATATACATTTTAGCTGATTTTTAAACTTTTGTATTATTTTATGCTTTTGTATACATTATTGTAAACACTTTAGAAAGAAATAAATGTTGATAAAATTGAATTAAATGGTTTCTCCTTTTTAATCTCAGATTTGGCTTTGAAGTAAGTAGCACAAGTAGCACTTTCTATAAAGGGGTTATACTGCATGAAATCAATATTCCTTATGTTTTACGCAACAAATAAGAACCTTTTAAACAAGGATGTTTGTTCTCTTTACATGTGATTGTGGTCTCCCTCAAAAGTGGCTTTGGTTTTGATGAATGAATGTAGGAGAAGCCAGCCATTAGCACATGATTGGTTAAACAGTCGGGTGTGGCTTGAGTCAATTTTCTGATTGGCCAACTCATTTAGTTGTGCTCAAGTGGATTGTCAAAAGGGAGTGTGCATGCAGGGATCTATGGTTTAATGCTAATCAGACAGAGATTAGACCGATTTATAGACCACCCACCTTCTTCCAATAATCCAGCGTTGCAACCTGTGTACAATGTTTGTCTTTGTTTACTTAAAAGACAAACAATCCAGTATAAAGTCAGTAAACCTATTTTTTTTATATTTGTGTGTGAAGTTGGGTTAAAATTTTAAATAACATTTTTAACCCAACATTTGGGTTTGTCCATATTTGACCCAAATTTGGGTGAAACAACCCAGCATTTTTTAGTGTACTATATTTGCTGTAGGCACACTGGGCTGTGATGTGTGATGAATGATTTGGAATATATCAACAAGAACAATTGTTGTCAACACAATCTGTTTCTTCACTGAATAATTGTTCAGACTACCAGAGGGACAGACACTTTTTTTTTTTTTTTTTTTTTTTTTTTTTTTTTAACAAAATGGAAAATATATAGAAACAGCAGTAATACAATAACAAACTGTATGCTTGTATGCTATCTGTGGTGGTTAATTTCTAAGAACACAGCCACTAAACCACCCGGACAGTAATTGTATTGTGGCTGATAAATTAGTGTGAGAGCACAGGAGGTTATTAAAACTACAAAATCCTGTCTTAGCCAGCCATGCAAGACACGCAAGGCCACATCTCCTCAAAAGACCCACATCTAAAACAATTTAGAATTAATTATTTCTCAACACAGTATCTGAGAAATCACACCCTTCTCTGACAGCCCGGTCAGTCAAGTGTTTAAGTGAATGGATGTGTGATTGCAGGTCCAATTCCATTCCATTGCTCTCTATGCCATGTATCAATGTAGAATGCCTTGAGCTGCTTTTTGCACATAAATGCAGCAGATAATTTCCACTAATGGTTGTAATAGATTCTATTTATGCTTTTTGTTTTGTCTAGCTAAGGTTTCTGGAAATGGCTGATCCCCTAATAAGTGTTGCTAACTAGTGAGCAGCTTGTGAGTCATGTTAGAAACATAGCTAACATCACTATAGCACTTGAAAATTCCCTCTGGACATCTATTTTCTAAATGCATGTTATTAAATTTGTCTCACTTTCGATTTTTTTTTGGCCTCAAAATGTTTAATCAAAATGTCTGTGAAACAATGAAGACTTCTCTCTGATGATGTATACCCAACTTCACATCATTTAGTCCGCTTAAACCCCACTACTATCTTACAATCAACTGCTAACACGTGCCGCCTCTACCCAATCAACAACCGATGGATATAGCTTACTCCCCACCCTACTTTTTTTCTTTTTTGAAAATGTGTTACACTCAGATGTATGGCATACGGAATAAAAGTTCTGTTGATAATTCTGTTACATCACACAAATTTAAGTAGTTGGAACAAGCCCACACATTTTACTATTTCAATTGTATAATGTTGCATACTTTTGGTCATGTAGTTTACGTGTTTATTGCCTTGTTCTTTGCTATATTTCAATATATTTGTTATTTTTACTTTGTTTCATCACGCCAGCTCACCGTATTAACAATGTGACTTAAGTTTCTTGATTGCAGTTGTTGTAGACTTTAAGGGTCATGCCATTAATACCTGTCCTCAACCTTACAGGTGGTCAAGTGTTCAGCTGAAAAGGGATTATGTAAGTGCCAAATTAGTTTGCCTCCGTTCAGAACTTTTGGGATCCTATTGGGTTCAGGTTATTTATGCTTATCTGGCATATCACATTTTTTCTTGTTTTGTCTTTCACCACCTATCACTGGTTCCCTGCACATGTATTTTTTTCTTAGCACTCTTGGTAAACTTCAATTCCTCTGGTTGCTTCTTAATGAGCTCCTCTACAGGATTACTTAACAAGATTAGAAGAAAAAAAAGAGAAAAATCCCTTTCCATCTGCCTACCTGCCACAGGATCGCCGGTTATACACCTGCTCTTTGACGACCGAGATACTTTCTAACAATAATAATATACTGTCATTAATATCAGTGGATACTGTGTAACAGGTATGCACAGGTGTTGGAAGCTTTGGTTACATCGTCCGAAGTGAATCAGCAGCTATTGCAGAACAGCTTAATCTTCAAGCCACAGGAAGTCACTATGTGGAAGCTCATATGGACCTGCACCTTGTGTTGTTTAAGCTGCATTTTTGCAATAGGCCAGCTGGATATTACTGCAGGTATGTTTTGTGCATTGCATGTATGGGGGTTTGATGAAAGGATGATGCTATAATACATTTATGTGTTCATTTATGTTTTAGAGAAAGCTAAACGGATTCCCACACGTATGAACACAGATAGGCGCTCACAAAGATTGTTTCAAATGTTTGCCGAAAAGCCTGGAGACCAAGAACACTTGCCGAGACGTAAACGTAATGTTTTTCTGTCCAGTGGAGTACGCCTTTGCCATCAAGAAACAGTGCAGCAAGCCATCACTAACCACCTAAAATACTACCAGCTCAGAGGTGAGACACTATTGCAGTACCATTACTACTTATACTGGTACTATTGCTTCTAAATTAAATTAAGTTAAATTCATTAATGTATTGTACATGTACAATTCAGTGTTGAAGAACTGAAAGTAACATTTGTGTCTGCTGCTCCCTTTTTGTAACATTCTAAAATTGTAAAAACAATCCTCTAAAAGTCCGTTTGTTGTGAGATTTTTGTAAAGATAAATCAAATTTTGTTACAATTAAGCAAATTAGGGTGAGTTTTAACTAATTTAACCACTCATCCTGTTGGCCCTTAATGACAATATCCGTTTGTTGGGAAAACAACAGCATGAGAATTGTTGATTTGTCTTATGGTATTTCTGTTTTAAGCTGCCTTAGTGCCTGAGCCTAACCAGATCATATTTATAAGATTCTGGTATGCCCTTTTATATAAATTACAACACAGCATGTTATTTACAGAACTCAAAAGATATTGCATTACAGGAATGGCTAAGAAGTGAATCTGAACTGGCTGAAAAAGGTTTCTGACATCTATGAGGAATGCATAAAAAAAAAGGCTCACTATAAACTGACCATAAAATAACTAGTGCCCGAACAAGGAGATGGGTGAAGAAGGATTGAAAGTTTTTAGGATTTTATTAATAGGTAAGAGAAAGCAGGTGGTAGTCAGCCGAATAATTTGCCAAACATTAAAAAGTCTGGCGAATCATGAAGTTCTCGCAGATTTGATGATGCCACAATGCAGACTGCCGACCTGTGGTTAAGCCTGTGTTTATGGTAATTATCACCTTTAACATATTGTAAAAGTCTACATTATTGTCTCAGACCAAGACTTGACCCAAGTAAGAAGACTCAAAGCCCTTATGTTAAGAACACAAGATCAAGACTCCACAGAGGTTACCATTTATTTCATCAACTATAGTGCAAGAAGCTCTCTATAGCTGACAGCTGGAATGAACAAAGAGATCTCATTATAGCGTTTGGCAGTTAAATCCACTCAAAGGTCCGCGTTGGACCACAGTTCACGTGTGATTTCACCCTAACCAAATTAGTTGGCAGTATTGAGAGGTTAAAAGCCAGTTAACACATTGGAACTGAGCCAATAAGGTTATAGCTTTTATATCCATTGCTGAGAATGAGGGTGTCAGCAGTCTTGTCTAAACAAACATTGAGACATTTCTTGCAAAGTAGAGCTTGAACCACAATGTCATCTGGATAGGTTATCGGTCAAAAAAATAACACTTTAGAATACTGTTCCACCGTTAATGTATTACAATAAATGAGTAAGTAGCAGTTGAATGGGTTAGTTCAACCTCCCATGCCTCCCAGAGAACTATACTAAGTACTATTTTATACAGGTTCATAATTAATGTGAATAATGCATTTAATGTATAATTAATTCTAAAATAAAGTTTCTGTTAATCCACTAATGACTGAAGTATTACCAAATCAGAAGGAACTACTAATTATGGGAACCAAATCATAACTCAGTAATGACTGAAGTCATTGTAAGCTTTTGATGTCTATAATAATAGATTGGATTACGGTTACTAGAATGTTAATATTGCGTTACTCATTTGTCCTGTGTAGTTATTAATTTAATGACTAAAGGATTATGTAAAGTGTTATCCTAAATGTTAACGTCATGAGTCGTATGTTTGTTGTGGTAATTACAGCCTGGCTGTAGAGCCAAACACGTGAGTGTCCAATCCTCACTCAAGTGGTCAATCCTGTGAAATCAATACATAAGACAATTCAAAAGCTTGAATCATAATAAATGCAAAAGAGCTCTATCTTTTGAGATTAAAGACTTCCATTAAATTACGAGAAATGTTGCCCAATGGTACTCACACATACAAAGTGAGCAGTCTGATTGTGTTTAGCTGAACTTAATACAATACTGTTATTGTTGTTTTGCAGTGTGTCAGGAAGTTGTGTGGGAGGCCTTTAAAATCTTCTTGGAGCGCCTCCCCCGTCAGCAAGAGTACCAGAGCTGGATGAGCCAATGCCAGACCGAGAGAGTCTCCATACGGGAGATTGGCACGCACTTTAGCCAATTAGAGGAACACATAGAACTTGTCTACAGAGTATGTAGCATAAGACAAGTATCATAACTTTGTACTAATTATGTTAGTTGATACTTCGATATGAGTACACTATTATGGGTCAGTGGTGCATGTACATATCAGAATGCCTTACTTCTGTCTTTTGAATCTTTTTGGTCCATTGCAGAGACTTGCACAGACGGGACTGAAAAGGTGCAATAACATTTTCTTAAAACCTTTTTCACCCTCAATCCTTACTTTTTCAAATACCCCTTTTCTCCCAGCCATTTTATTCATTGTATTAGATGAGTTCTGTCTTACTGAGTCTGTTGTTCTCCTCACCTTTTATCTTCCTCTTTTTTCTCAGTAAGACACCTACATACTCAGTATGCAGGTATTACACCCTTTATACCCGTTCTTTATTTTTATTTTATTTTTTTAATAGACTGTGCAGTTAGATATCTTGTGTGTGTGTGGTTTTACATTTGAAGGTCTGTTTAATATACAACTGTCTTTCTTTTTTCCCCTCTCTCTTTTTTTAACAGACCAGAGGATTCTTCCCATGAGCCACCAGGTCTGTCTGTGATGTGTTACATACTGATGCAGTATCATATATAAACTGTATAAAAAACTCTTACCTATTTGAGAACATGCATGGATCATATTTGAAATGATTTTTGAAAATCAAAAAGAAAATTATATTTTAAAACCATTCGTTTTGTTTGTATTGTTCCATAATTTAAACAACAATTATTTATTAATCTCTTTGGTATGTTTTAGACAGTAATTTGCTATCAACTATCAACAGCAATTTCTAGATGTTTAGCAACTAGCTTCTTTTGCAACAGTTAGTGCTGATGCACATATTGTGGGAGAATATAAAAAAAGCAAATGGCTTTAAACTGCCTTTTAGCGTTTGGTTTGAATTTCAGAGAATCCTTTTATGTTTTTCTAGGGCTATTTTAATGCAAACTTTGTTTGCAATTCAGATTGAGATGTTGTATTTGGAAATGTCAAGAAATAAACTTAAATAGATCTTATAACATGTGCCTGAACACCACAAATGATCTTCAAAACTTGGTAGGTGATGAGCTTCCAGCTGAGACTACTGCATTGGTGACCACAACGGTTCCAGATGAGGTCATCTCTGAGAGTGAGAAGGAAGTTACTGCAGAAGCACCATATGTTGTCGTGACAATGGCGCTGGATACTGAGGTAGACAGCTCAAATAGGCTGAAATAAACTGTTATCATTGATGAAGATATAATAAAAATGTAAGAGTGATGTCTAGGTCTAATGTGATGCACTCAGTGGTAGATGCAAAAAAATATACATATAAATACTTCTTAAATATTGAACACCTGCTAAACAAGGTTTGTGTGTATTGTCTGTGGTAGATCACTAATGAGATTGAGCAGGAGGCAGCTGCTTTGCCTACACATCCTCTGGTTGAACAGAGGGTGGAGCTGGCTTTGTTACTGTCTGGAGAACCATGGAGTGAAGAGCTGTTCAACTCCACCAGCAGTGAGCATCGCAGACTCACTCAGCAGATTACAGAGAAGGTACAATACACATTCACTTGCTTACATTTTTACACTGATGTTACGTCACTATTTTGTTTTGGATTTGTAACAAAATGTTCTGCCTATAATATGTCATTCTTTCAGATTTCTGCTGCTTTGGAGAAACTTACAGAATTTAAGAGTGTGTCAGTATTGAACATCAGGTGTGTTGTTTCATTCTGCGAGTTACAGTACAATACATTGGCTCCAAAAAGTATTTGGACACTTAGTTCACGTTTAAAAATGTATAAATATTATTGCATTAGACTAGAACATATGAAGCTATTTTAAGACGGATTTAGCACACATTTCAAGAAAAATGTTTTTAACAAAAAAAATTGTAATAGATTTTAAATAAAACAATGAATACACTAAATGAAATCCATACAACACTAATAGTTATGGTATATGATGCTGGTCAAAATAATCGATGAGAAGCGCTGTGGAAAATAATACTATATATGTGCATAAGTTCAGATGCAATAAGTACCATCTGAAAGTTTCTTCTAGAATGATAATTTTTATCACGCTCGTATATTTAAGTTTAGTCATTTCACTTAAGTGACTATTAATAGGTAATTGTCATTGCCATTTAACTTAAATATACAAGCTTGGTCAAAATTATCATTCTAGAAGAAAATTTCAGATGGCACTTAGAGGCATTTGCATCTGAACTATTCATATATAAATAGTGGAAAACGGTCTATTTGTTTGTGAATTGGGCTACTACACTGGTTGTGCTGTGTTTTTCTGACTCACCAAAAAGAACCGGTTTATAAGAATCATATCTGATTAAATTAAATTAAAACAATTTGGATTTGTATGGTACACTTAGGACCGACCCTCGACCCAACAGCAACTGGCAGTGTCGCTCCTAATTTACCCATACGTGATCAAGTGGGCACTCGTGCAATGTAAAAGAAATGATGTACACTTGAGTGAACAAGACAGATGGAGGTTAGCGAGGGAAGGGAATAAAAAGTGGACTTAAACGCAGCCCTGGGACATTTCCATATGTATGATTAGACAATATGCATCATTAGTCTATTGTCTGCTATAGTTGTGAGACTATTGTACTAAAAATATGACCTTTATCTTTTCTGTAGGCCAGAGGTGGATTCCTCAAGGTAAATTACACTCGATTGTTTCCATGAATGCAGGTTAGTGAATGAGAGAATATATATTTTTGCAGTCTTTCCTTGAGTAAGTATAAACAAGCAAGAATCATGTTTATAATCATGCAATTACAATGGAAGTCTAAGTTTGTATATTAGGATTAAAATACCCAATGTTTGGAAGTTATAGCTACAAGACTTACAACTGATGATGTGAGACTATTGCAAATTTAGCCAATCTTTCAACTCATGCCATGATCATGTTCTGTCCCGTAGACTAAGTGTGATTATTGTTTTCTCTCTGCAGTGGTGATAAGGCAATACTGGTGGAATATGTTGTATCCCTCCGGACCAACAGTGAAGTAATCAGTAGTGAGACGCTGGACTTCATTAATCTTCAATCCAACATGGTCGAGGGCACCTTTAGTTACTCAGAGGGGCCCACAGTCCAGTACACCATTACTGACCTCCACCCTGACATCACTGAGGCTCTGCATGGTACTTCTCTACCTGCTTGTAGCTACTAGTCTTCTATGGTACATCTTGACAGTCTGTAACGGTGTAATATTTTCTTTCTATTTCCAGAGGAAACCCATTCTACCGAGGAGTTACCAGACCCTGACCTCAAGGTGATTTAAGATTTCTGTCAAGATAAAAGTGAAGTTTGAAGTATACCATCAAGATATTTGCATATTCTTAAAATCCAAATTCTGATTCCTACTATTGGAGCACATTACTAGGGTTTTTGACAGGATATTGCTAGGCTAGGTTACAGTGATCTGGATGTTTTCTAGGGTATTGTAAAGAGATTACCTAAAGTAGGTAATAGGATGGCGTTCTAGGATGTTTACTAGCCGAAGCACACGCCCAAGTATATGGGATGTTCTGGTCTGTGTTTATACGTATAATGTCCTTCAATGTACTTTGTAAGTCTATCATGCTAGACTTTACCTCTACTTAACAAGGCACACAATTTGAGGTATTATTCTTGTCACATAGAACAAACAATTTGGTGTGGGTTATCTGCTGCCATAGTTTTCAACAAACTCCTAACTCTAAGAATGGAATAGCAGGAACAGTAATAGTAATGACAGCCTTAGCAAGCGCCATCAATAACTTTCACAAAGACTGAGAGCCAGCTGTTTCATTTCGTTTATTTCCTAGGATGACATTTTATCAGTAGAAAAACCATCAGAGTTGCCTGGAGAAGTGGCAAAGGAGGTCTTTACAATTAGTGACCATTTGGATACTACAATGTCAAAAGAGGAAGATATGGGAGAGCTGGATGTCATACATTTAGATGAGACCACACAACCGCTTATAGACTATCCCAGCGTCAGTTTCTCAGAGGGTAAGAACCAACATTCACATGTACAATGATTTACAGCAGGGATGTGAAATAATGCACTTGGAAGGTCAGTATCCTGCAGGGTTTAGCTTCAATCTGCCCAACACCTGAATTCTGCAGGACAATGGCCCTTCAGGAGAATAATTGACACCCCTGATTTAAACCAATATGCTGGTGAAATACTTGTGTCAAGATGCTTGTTTGTTCCTCTTTTCAGACATTCAAGACAAGGACTCGGTGTTACAGTTTTCCCCTAGCCAGACTCCTGCTGTGGAAGATGAAGCGGCTGGTCCTGCTATCGATGCCAAGCAAGACAGTGACATCACAATGGATGACCTTGACCCTGCCTCTGGATTTGGTATAATCGAAGAAAATTGGGTAACTGTTCTTACTACTGAAGCTCAAGAGCCAGTTGGAGATATAGAAGTTGATGAAGAGTTTTTGGTTAATGTAGATATGCCACAGAAAGAGGACTATGAATTCTCCACAATTACAACAGTGGTTGAACAGGACCAGATCTTGCCTGAGAAAACCACAGAATTGATTACTGTTGAAGCTGGAGAAGATGAAAACCTACAACGTGGTAGTGATGCCCCGGCAAAGCCACCAGTCAAGGTGGCTGAGGCAGAATCTACCTCACAACCTGAGGAAGACCTCATATTACCTGCAGAAGAAGAGAGGCAAAAGGAAGACAACAAGGAAGAAATTGTTCTAACAGAATCACAAAATGATGAGGAAACTGAAGCTGCTGTGGTCACGAAGGAGAAATCAGAGGAGGCTGGAGAAGAGGAAGAATATGTTGACAGTACCACAATGGCACATGAGAACAAAGATTTTGTACCAACAGATGTTTCAGCTATACAGCTTTCAAAGGAAGTTCTAAAACAGGAAGAGATCCTATTGGTCACCATTAAACCAGCAAACCCAGTTTACTCAACATCGCTTTCACCTGAAATAGAACCACCCTTCTCCCTCTTCACCATGAAGACCCCAGAAGAGGTGGAGTTTGATTTAAATTCAGAGGTCATGACTACATCTCTGGATTTGATTGATTTCAGAGAGGACGAGGGTAGTGGTCTCTCTAGTGTCATTCAGGGCGATTCCAGCACTGCCTTGCCAACTAACCCTGGGCGGTATTTGGTAGTGTTTTTCAGTCTTCGTGTAACTAACATGATTTTCTCTGAGGATTTGTTCAATAAGAGCTCTGCAGAGTACAAAGCCTTGGAGCAACGCTTCCTTGAACTGGTAGTGTACTTTCTCTAAAGTATATTGTACATATTCTTTTTCCTTTCCTTTTCCTACCACCACTTGTTCCTTCTCTTAACCCACATTTCCACTTATCAGTCCAAATCAAGAGTGTCCAATCTCACTCCTGTAGGGCCATCTTCCAGCACAGTTTAACTCCAGCCACAATAGGGGATTATCACGCTTCCGGGTTTCATGGGCGGGATTTGTCAACTTTGTGCATGTCCACTTCCGACGCAGTTCAACAATGCCTGAAACGAATGCTATTTATGTCACTGCTCTGTTCCACTTTGTAAATTTAACCAACAACGCCAACCCTACTTAAGTTTTCATGGATTCCTGACTGAATTGAGTATAAGGAAGAAGTGGATTAAAACTTTAAAATAAAACAAGGTAGCATGTTTGTTTGCAGCCGGCACTTTAGTGAATCAGACTAATTTACCAGGGATGCTGTATGAATAAACTTAGTGTAGTCCTTTCATCAGTTCGCCAGTGAGATCGGTGATTCAACGGAAGTGGCAGTGCACAAAGATCACTGAATCCGGAAGTACTACGTATCAGTGTGATAATCCCCTATTTCACAGACCTGGGGCCAGTTGCATACACTGCTAAGATTAGTCTTACAATCATCAATTTTTTTTTTCTTTAAGACTGTTCATAACTTCTTTTTTTGTCAGTTGCGTGAAAATGTAGATTGGTCTAATTTGATCCCGAAAAGTAAGACTTTACTTTTCCCCTTTACTACATTACCCTTAACTAACTTCTGTTGGTTATACTACTGTAGTTCTTAAGAAACAGTCTTTACATAATGGCTGTTTATGCAAATGTCCCCTGAACTTATTTATATATACCAAGGCAAAATCAACTCTAGTCCTGGGGTGCCAGCTTTGACCCTTGCTTTAACCCTAACCAAACACACCCAAACAAGGCTACTTAAGTGTTCAGAATTGCTTGCAAATTACAGACAGGTGGGTTAGACTGTGATTGGTACTAAAGTTTGCAGGACACCGACCCTCCAGGACTGGAGTTGAAAAGGCCTGTTTTATACATTTTATGTTTGTGAGTTCATGAACTTATTATTGGGATTTTTATGTCCCTCAGTTGGTACCATATCTGCAGTCAAACCTCAGTCACTTTGAGAACCTGGAGATTTTGAACTTCAGAAATGGAAGTATTGTGGTGAATAACCGTATGAGGTTTGGGAAGCCTGTTCCACGTGAAGTCAATGCCGCTGTCTACCTCATTCTTGAGGACTTCTGCAACACAGCTTACCAGACCATGAACCTCGCCATTGACAAATATTCTTTGGATGTCGAATCAGGTAAGACAAATTTAGAAAACTCTCACTTTGGAAATGCAGCCTTTATATAATGTGTTCAGGTTCCTCCTCACATGCCACCTTTATGCAGCAGCTAATCAATGTGTTTGTATGGTTTTGTTTTTTAGGGGAACATGCAGACCCATGCAAGTTTCAGGCTTGTAATGAGTTTTCAGAATGTACAGTGAACCGCTGGTCAGGTGAGGCTGAATGTGTGTGTAATGCTGGTTACTTCAGTGTGGACGGACTACCCTGCCAGAGCATCTGTGACCTTAAGCATGACTTCTGCCAGAATGATGGGAAATGTGATGTCATTCCCGGCCAAGGAGCCATCTGCAGGTATGTTTATTTAGATTATATAATGCTAAGTTTTAATGAATTTTGTTCAAGATCATATACTATACAGCGAGTCTACTACCTGGAGAACAGCATTCTCATTCATCTTGAAGTACGTAGATGCTAAGCTAGCATTTTCTTAAGGTGCATTTGGTGGGCCAAACTTGCCCTATTGGCCTCGGTCCATCATCATAGCCACCTAATCATCCCCATATACTGATTGGCTTCATCACTTTGTCTCCTCTCCACCAATAAGCTGGTGTGTGGTGGGTGTTCTGGCGCAATATGACTTACTTTGGTGGTGGTTAAGGAGATTCCCCCATTCTATGTAAAGCACTTTGAGTACCCAGAAAAGCACTATATAAATGTAACAAATTATTATTATTATGTGTTTGTGTCTGCACTGTAGATGCCGTGTGGGGGAAAACTGGTGGTACAGAGGGGAACATTGTGAAGAATATGTTTCTGAGCCACTCGTGGTTGGCATTGCTCTAGCATCTGTTGCTGGGTTCCTGATGGTGGCATCAGGAGTAATCTTCTTCTTAGCAAGAACTCTGAGAGACCAGTATGACAGGGATGAGATGGAGGACCAAGTACGGTAAGACACATTCTCTATCACAGTCAATCTGGGGTGTGTTTCCTGAACAATGACGTAACTGACTGCTTAACTGCCATAGTACGATGCATCATTGAAGAAACCAACTAGCTAGTAATGACTGTTTCTCGAAATCATTGTTGCAAATTGGTCTATCAACCACAATGTCATGCAGGTGGTGGAGTAATAACTTCTTTTAATTAATCTGTTTGAGATTGAATTTGTGCTTGATTTTTTTTTTTTGCTATAAATTACGGACATTTTTCTTTTTCAAAGTTATTTTGTTTTATTTCCAGATTCAATCATTGGCTCATTCTTGCATAGTAAAACAAGTTCACACAAGCGCACTATTCAAAAACGATGCTTTAAATTTCTTGACAAATTATAAGACGTAAATTATGTATTCTAAATAAAAGATATAGATTGTACTGAATGTCAACTTGCTTATTTGACTTAAGATAAGGTTTTATTGACTCCAGAAACTATGCTTCGCTTCAACCACACACCTTTGCGATGCAGTTTGCTTATGTTCTTTAGAACGATGTTTTCGGGAAACACCGACTCGTTGAACTATGCTGATAATGACGGAACTAGCGACCATAGTTGGCTAACGATGCTTTTGGGAAACACACCCCTGGAAAATCGCAACTTCATTCCAACTCGCATACTTTCACTGTTCATTATAATATTCTTTCTATTAAAGACTTTGTTTGTAAGTGAGCTTCAGTACATGACAGCATTACCTTAGAAGACTGAGCCAATTTCAGAGCCAGTCACCTGACATGGACCCTTGATAAGTGTTTGACCTTGAATAAAGTAGACTTGAGCTTCTAGAAAGGTTCTATGTCACAATAAAGCATGCAAGCATGATATTTTAATTTCAAATCTCAATAAAAGCTAAATTAAACCATTATATTGTAATGGTGATGAATGGGATTTTACAAATTGTTCAATGAAAAGTTTTTAATTTTGCATGACACACTAAACCAAGTCAAATCTTGAAATTAATTAATTATTGAAATGATTTTGAATGAGTCAGTTACATATACGTTTAAAGTGCCTCATTATGCTTTTTCAAGTATTCCCTTTCATGCAATGTGTAATATAGCTGTTTGTGAATGTTAAAGGTCTGCAAAGTTTTAAAGATCAAAGTGTATGACAAATAAATTTGTCTCTTAAATGAAATAATAGATTCTGAACTGCCTAAACGAGTTGTCAGCAATTCCAGTCTCACTTCCTGTTACATATCTATGTAGCAATTTCCCACCTTCAAACATTATAGGTGTAGCTGGGGTCTGGAAGAGTTTGGTTCGAATTGTCAACATAGACAAGACGCTGTTTTCTGCATTGCAAATCCAATTTGCATACATTTCAAAAGGATGAGGACTCACTCTGGAATTGATGGTGAAAAATGTTGCCATCTTTACTGTTTATTTTACTGTCTGTACAAGCGCTGAGGAAGCCTCTGGAGCTGAAATTCAGATATACTGTAGTAATGGCCGTTTTGTTTCCGTCACACACTATAACCTGTTGACCAATCACAACAGACTGGGCCATCTGACCAATTAGAGCAGAGTAGGCTAGCGGAAAGTAGGGGTTTAGAGAGACTGAATCTTTGAACAAAACATTTTCAGACTCTTTGACAAAAGAGGTGATGTGCAATGTATATTATGATCATTTAATTGTTTTTTATCTTTGCATGTAAATTTATTGTAGAAAACCTCCAAAACAAAATTAGCTTTTTAAATTAGCATAATTGTAAACTTTTCTAATGGCATAATAGGGGCACTTTAATGTTCTTTTTTCTCACACTTAAATCTCTTTAATTACTGCATGTCCATTACCTAGGAAGAAGTTTCTCCAGTAATGCCATTATGAGATTTGATCCCTTGACCTTGACTCTTTAGGCCATGACTTCTTACCCCTGTGGATTTAACTATGGCTGTTACAACTTTGTGTGTGTGTGTGTGTGTGTGTACATGTTTGTATGAAGGGGAGAGGACAGGCCACCATTTATAGACACAGCCACTAAGTATAACCCCATGTTCGAGAGCGATTTAACGACAGGCTACAGCCATTACTACCAGCGGTACCCAGAGCCCCCAGTCCACAGCAGTGCCAGTGCGGAAGCATCCACTGACTTCAGCAGTGAAGAGATACGCCATATTTATGAGAACAGCGAACTTACCAAGGAGGTATGGGTCTGTGTGCATAAATATAGAGTAATATATTGATAACATAAATTAATGGTATACCCATTTAGGGGTCAGCAAGTGAATTTTCTTTATATTTTTTTTTTAACTGTATGAGCAAGTGTGTGATGCATGTAGTTTTTGGAATTTATCTCTTCCTGTCCATTCCGTAGGAGATTCAAGATCGCATACGCATCCTTGAACTCTACACGAGAGATCGCCAGTTTGCAGATTTTTTGCAGCAGCATCAAATGTAAGTATGTCTTTGCTTGCTTATTCAGTATAGCTTTGCATATTTTTGCCCCTCATGTTTTGTTTTTGTTTTATTTAATCAGAACAATGGATAATCGAAGAGAAAGTTCCTCAACATAGGACATATGTCCAAGATCCTGCTGGGTGCATGACATTGAAGGTGATGGCAATGTTATGAGAACTGCATGTTATGCTGTTTTGTTGCATCTAGTGTAAACATAAGTGGAACTTTAAGGCTTTTGTCTAATCTCTTTTATTATATTTTTGTATTCCAAAACATTGTTTGTATTGATTTTCTTGTTGTGTTCCACTTCCAGAAACTTGCCTTGTCTTTTGGGAAATGACCTCTCAGTGATTCCTGAGCAAAAGCCTCTCATTTTCCTGTTAGAGACTTTGGCCATCACAAATAAAAATGTTTAACAATAGATCTTTCTTAAAATAAGCTATTTTGTTGCTTTTATTATTATATTTGCCCTACTGTTAAAGACCATTTCACTTTTTTCTTTATTAGAACAAGATCGCAGTCACAGACAATGCCATTGGTTGACATTTTTGTTAGTGCCTTATTCTTATAGTTGTGGTCCATCTCTCAGCCAAACAATCTCAGCCAAACAATCTGGTTTTCAGAGGAAAATATCCCTGATGCATTATTCTTGAAAGTTACTTGATTCACAGACCATCAATGTTCTATTTATTTTTTTATTCTTTGAAACCTTTTATTAGATTAACTGCTTGTCAGAAATTTCAAGACAAAATAAACAGCTAATTTTAATGTTTATTTTATTAAATATCAAAAATGTTTGAAAATTAACTGAAAACGTACAAAACAATAAAAAGTGGCCTCTAATATGTGATAAGAAAGAAGAAAAAACACTGCAAAGTCCAATGTTATTTTGAAAAGTAGATTTGTCTCTTTAAATTTTTGTTTGAAGATTGTGAGTATTAACAGGGGTTACAGTTTTATTATGCAACAATAATGTATATTATCATTGTTTTAACTGCCCTTGTAACGGAGTGGCTCCTTTAAGCCAAAATCTCTTTAAGGCAAGTCACTTCACTTGGCAGCCATCTTCGGCAGCTGTTTTCTATGTAGGCTACAGTGTGTAATAGTCATATAAGTACAGTTCCTATATGCTTGAATGAAGAAAGACCAAAATCTTCAAACACGTTTGTTTCAGAAACATATTTCAAATCAGCAATAAAATATCATAAATCTTGCTTCTTAAGCTTAAATCATCGTTCATATGACAAAAAGGCTAGATTTCGATTCCTACTGCTATTTAGTGTGGCAGCTTTTTTTCAGTGAGTTGTCTGTCACCACTTCTTTGCAATAATTGACATTTGTATGTATTGTTTTACATTATTTATTGTATTTAAATTTGTATCAGTTGGTATAGTTCAGTAACAAATGATATTACTGTCATCTTTTAAATGCATAATTACTCATGTGGGCAAATGATTTGACGACAATTGTCATATTTGTGTGGTGGATTATGCCTTTAAGAATTAAATGTTGTTATACTGAAGACTTTTATTTACAAGTTTTATTACAGGTACTAAGTCATTGTTTACAGTCTATGGTTTATTGCCATTTTGTCCCTGTGTGTTAATTTAGTCTGAAGTGATGTCTTTTCCTGAGTTGGTCTGCTGCTCTTTCACGTATCACAGCTAATTTAGGAGTACAGAGAGCTCACTACAATTAGTCAAAGCTGAGATTACGGCCCAGATTACAGGGATTTACTGTACCTGCAGTGCAGCCTATGCTGTAAACAGGAAGATGTGACTGTTTGTTTTTCTATTATACCATGAACATTTTTACTTGTAAATGGCTCTAATATATGTATACACAGGGAGGTCTATAGTTTTAGACAGACTGCATATGTGCAATAGTAGGCTATCATGAGTGTTTGGAAGGCGTTTGGATGAAAATGAAAAGCTCTCCTGAGTCGCATGCTTCATTTTCTTGATTTTATGAGAAACAAATGGACACCAGTGTGGTAATGTGTACCACTGGAAAGGCGTAATTATGCATAATTTATATGCTAGTGTTATTATAACCAATGAGAGCATGAGAAAGGACTACAATAATAATCAGACTGGGTAGGCTACTTGAGCCACAAAGAAATGGGCTCCCCCCCTCTCTTCAATATCAGTAGTGAAAGAGATCTGATGGTCCAGTGATTTTGTAAACATGTCAAGTTTAATTGAATAACTTGCAGTTGCACTTCAGAATTCAATCTCTAGAGGGCGTTGTTTGGGTTTACTATTTCAAAGTGCTCAATGGATCACACTACATGATCAAGTGGCTGTTGTAAAATTCCTATGCTGCTCTATTTCAGGTTCTGCTTTGGATATGAGAGAGTGTTTACACTATTGATGTTGCAACAGTTCTTGTGTGATGGGAGAAACTAAGCTTTTCGAATCTCTAATTCTAATGAACCAATAGTGTCAGAATTGAAGCCAACTCATCCTGGTTCCCTACTAAAAACCCAATAGCACTTTTGGATTAGTGCATTAAATAAGGTCTGTGACTAACAAAAGCTTATAAGCTTACACTATTTGTTCATGTTTATAATCTTAACAAATGAAAACAACTTTAATGAATTTTGAAATATAAATAGGCTACAATCGGCATATCAAAAGCTTAACGTATGCTATGGTCGCATGACTTCAATGTCACCATCACTAAGCTCCTGACAACTTTTTCAGGGTTTGTTTAAAAACATTTTCCCTGACTTAGTTTGCAAGAGCGTACAGTAATTTATAAACACAACGAGGCTGTGAAAGCGGACTAGTGAGTTGATAAGTTTACCTGTTTGGCTGATGCCGATTAATGTCCTTGACAACCTCTGAAGTTCCATTTAATCACTTGTTAGCAACTGCCTTTTATAAGACAAGTAAAAAAAAAAAAAAAAACACAAGAGGGTATTACATATGTTTTATATCGTAATGAAATGTGGAACTATTTTGAGCTTGTGTTCACCACAGACCTTATTTCAAGCATTTAACCAAAAGCCCATTCGAAAAGAGTATGATTTCCAATTCATTATATAGCCTAATAAAAAAAGAGATAATGTAAATCCATCCTTTCATACTTGAATGAATTTGTTTAATAAAATAACCGCAACACATAATAAAAACACATTATGTCTTTGACAGAATGTGAATAGTATGCTAAACTATGAGTCTTTGCTTAAAAGATCGCAGAAAAATATGCTTCCAGTAACTAGTGTGCATCTAGTGATACATTTGATAAACGTCCTCTTGCAGGGCATGCTTGTACAATATTTTTCAGTGTTACAGTCTTATTGATTCTGTGCTTAGACTTTTCTGGCATCGTTAATAATGAATCATCCTCCTGAGTATAATTAATCAGTCTCCCAAATACACACATGCTGCCAACAGCTGCGTTTAGTCACTTTTCCTTCCTTTGAGAAAAGAAAACACACAGATGCACATAAAAATTTTCACAACATTTAACACCACCGATCGGTGATGTCAAGGGCCACCAATGACCAGACTTTACAGTCGTGTGGGCCGATAATTGCTTGTAATATGTGCCACCCTATTTTGTCCACACCTTAGTTTTTTTCTACTTGTGTTTTTGTCTGTTTGTTGATTGGTATGCCATGTGTGTCTGTTTATATTCATTGCTTTGTCCTGTGACCAAAAATTCTTCAACAGGAACATGTGCGTGAAGTTCGCACTGGATCACCACTACTCTCCCTTTGAGCCAATCACAGCTGCAGAGCAAAACACACACAATCATCTGCACCAAACCATCACAGGCAGAGGCTTGATTATTCATTTTTTCCCAACTTGCTTTTTCTTTTATACTACCATACGTACTGTACCCATTGACACTACACTAGACGTGTGTCCTTTAATTCATATTATACTGCATATTCTTTATAAGTATCCTGAAAATGATTTAAACATTTTGATATTCAGACTAACAGCACATTGTACATTATAGACAAAATTGGCTTTTATTCTCCCATAGAAATGAGCGCAAAAGGTGTCAAAGCCATTCAAGAAAAATGTATTAATTAAAATAGGTACAGTATATGTCAACCCGATCTCACGGGAATTCGTACGAATTTTACGAGGTGGCTAATTCGTAACAATTTGTACGACCTCACTCGTACGATTTAGATAATTCGTACATATTTTACGAATTAGCAAATTCGTATGAATTCGTACGAATGACCTACCCCTGACCCCGCCCCTAAACATAACCGTCACGTGGGTTTAGACAAATCGTACAAATTTGTACGAATGAGGTCGTATGAATTAGTACGAATTAGCCACTTTTGAATCATTCGTACGAATTCGTACGAATTGGTCGTGAGATAGGGTAGTATATGTGTAGAAATAGGTAAAGAAATTTAGGTAGAATAACAATTTTGACCAAGATAATGCGGCCTACAAGAGATAAAGTTAGAGAGACCCACCTACACATATCCAGCTTGAATTCATCCATGAGTGGTTATTGTAAGAATTTTTAAAGGAGATCCCCAGATATGTGAAATTGTCAGAAGCAATCTTGAAGAATAGAAGTTTTTCATCACCCTGCTCCAAGTGTCCTCCGTCTCCAGTGATCCCACCCAGCCTCCCTCTCCCACCTCCTTTACCAAAGACTGCCAGTGCTTTGGCCCTGCCTCCACTGGTTCCCTTCAGTCCCTCTGCTCCGCCTCCACCGGTTCCCTTCAGTCCCTCTGCTCCGCCTCCACCGGTTCCCTTCAGTCCCTCTGCTCCGCTTCCACTGGTTCCCTTCAGTCCCTCTGCTCCGCTTCCACTGGTTCCCTTCAGTCCCTCTGCTCCGCTTCCACTGGTTCCCTTCAGTCCCTCTGCTCCGCTTCCACTGGTTCCCTTCAGTCCCTCTGCTCCGCCTCCACTGGTTCCCTTCAGTCCCTCTGCTCCAATTCCACTGGTTCCCTTCAGTCCCTCTGCTCCGCTTCCACTGGTTCCCTTCAGTCCCTCTGCTCCGCTTCCACTGGTTCCCTTCAGTCCCTCTGCTCCGCTTCCACTGGTTCCCTTCAGTCCCTCTGCTCCGCCTCCACTGGTTCCCTTCAGTCCCTCTGCTCCGCTTCCACTGGTTCCCTTCAGTCCCTCTGCTCCGCTTCCACTGGTTCCCTTCAGTCCCTCTGCTCCGCTTCCACTGGTTCCCTTCAGTCCCTCTGCTCCGCTTCCACTGGTTCCCTTCAGTCCCTCTGCTCCGCCTCCACTGGTTCCCTTCAGTCCCTCTGCTCCGCTTCCACTGGTTCCCTTCAGTCCCTCTGCTCCGCTTCCACTGGTTCCCTTCAGTCCCTCTGCTCCGCTTCCACTGGTTCCCTTCAGTCCCTCTGCTCCGCCTCCACTGGTTCCCTTCAGTCCCTCTGCTCCGCTTCCACTGGTTCCCTTCAGTCCCTCTGCTCCGCTTCCACTGGTTCCCTTCAGTCCCTCTGCTCCGCTTCCACTGGTTCCCTTCAGTCCCTCTGCTCCGCCTCCACTGGTTCCCTTCAGTCCCTCTGCTCCGCTTCCACTGGTTCCCTTCAGTCCCTCTGCTCCGCTTCCACTGGTACCCTTAAGTCCCTCTGCTCCCCCTCTGTTGATTCCACTCTACTGGATATGCCTCACATATTCTGGCTCCATCTCCGACTCCCAGCCACCTTGGTTTGTCGACCAGTTGGCTACACCGTGGCTCCTCCCTCCCTCAGCTCCACCTGGGGCCTTTGTCCTTATGGCTCCACCATACTGCCTCAAGCTTCGCCTTGGTCAGTAGCTCTACCTGTGCCAGGGACCTCTGGGCCTTCAGCTGCGCATCATCCCTTTACTCATTCGGCTCCGCTGGGCTCTGCCATCCCTCCAGCTCCACCTTGGTCCTCAGTCAAACCTACGCCTCAGTATTCTGGCAGCTTGGCTCCTCCTCGGACACTTGTCTCCACATCTATATTGGTTGCCCGGTCTTCTCACCTGCACCTGGGACTCCAACTCCATCAGCTCTTTCTCAGTCTGTGGGCCCCCTGTGTTCGTTTGTCAAGACTCGACCATGGCTTCTTCCTCCCTTGACTCTGCCGTGGGCCTTAATCTTGGATTTTCATAGGTTCCCACTGGGCTTTCCTGCTTTTGTCTCCTTCCTAGGTCCTCCAAACACAATCACCACCACCCTGGTCTCTTCCGCCATCATCTTCTCCTGTTTCGTGCCCTTCGTTAGCCTCTCGTCCACCTCCAGAGCCCCCACCCTTCCTCCTTACATGGACTTATTGTGTAGATATGCAGACTGATCTCATGAAGTAGCGTGTGTATGACACGCCAATTCGTATTTCCATTTTTGGCGTGCTATCAAGACGCATAATCCCCTTTCAGCGTGTTTATGAACGCCGTTGACTTAACGTTTTATAAATATATGACTTACCTCAACCCCGTCCCTAAACCTAACCGTCACTGGGGTTAATGGCATTTATGACTGTTCCCTTACCATCCTAGGTAAAAAAACGTATGACTTACCTCAACCCCATCCCTAAACTTAACCGTCACTGGGGTTAATGGCATTTATGACTGGAGATTTGACTGCGTGTACAGACACGCGGAATGACGCAGACGTTAATGGCGTAGACATATACGCATACAAGCGGATACACGCGGATGGCTTAAAATGCGTAGAGATGACACGCCACCTGACTCGAAAGTGGCGTATATGTTTACACAAAAGTCATGATGTCATGTTGAGATATGGCATGAGGACACTCTTCTTGGGATGTGGGTGTAATGCTAGGGTAATGGTTGTCATTGTGTTTTAGTTTGGTTCTGTTCTGTTCCTGTTTACCTGTGTTTCTTTGGTTGTTAGTTTTGCTCAGTAATTTAGCAAGTAAGCATTAAGCTGATGAATTTAACCAGAACAACTAAATAAAATTAATGTTGTTTTTAACAGTGTGTCAGTTGACAGTGTGTCAGGACCATAACCATACCATATAGCAAAAGTTTGGGGTCAGTAGTCAGTTTTTTAAAAGAAATTAATGGTTTTATTTTGCAAGGATGCAGTATTTGATCCAAACTAATATTTTTACATTGTCGCTAAAACAATATTTCAAAGAAATGCCAAACTTTTTAGCTTTATATTCTTCAAAGAATTATCTACAGCCAGCATATTATAATGTATTCTTAAGGATCATTACACTTAAGTTTGAAGTAATGGCTATTGAAAAATAAACTTTGTCATCGTATATTAATCAGCCTAAATTTTTAAATTAAGTTATGAAGCAGTTATTTTAAATTATAATACTATTTCACAATATTACTGTTTTTATTTTTGATTAAAAATCCAATCCATTCAAACCCTAACTTTTGAACGGTAGTGCAGACCACTATTAGTACAATTCTTAAACTATTAAATTAGGTAAATACTCTGAGCTTGAACACCCTGGTTTCAACATCTCATTCTTTTGTCAACTGACCGCAAAGACTTTAGCAGTGAAATTGTTGAGTTTAACAAACTGTAGCAGATTATAATCAATTGTTTGGTCACAATGATTTGCCAACTGTATTTTTAAAGATTTACTGTTTGTTTGAACCATAATTAATTATTAGGAGAAATATTGCTGAGAATGACATGTTCAAAAGCCTTCTAGACATGCTATAAATAACATTATTTTGTAAATTGTTAACATGTTCATTTTATTAATGAATGAATTCCATTCAGTCTTCAAACATTTTTTCATGTTTTTCTTCATGTTTTTCATGTTTAGCTGTGGTTAAATAGATTTAGTCAGAAAAATGAGTAACATGTGGTATATATTTGGTGTGTTTGTGTGTGTGTGTGTGTGTGTGTGTGTGTATATATATATATATATATATATATAGAGAGAGAGAGAGAGAGAGAGAGAGAGAGAGAGAGAGAGAGAGAGAGAGAGAGAGAGAGAGAGAGAGAGAGAAAGATAATCTAAATGTTTAACAATAACAATGTGACATCATAGGTCCCTCCCTCTTGTTAATAATCCAGCATAGATGGTGCAGTCGTGCAATCACACACACCCATTTCCAAAACACACAAAATCATACCACAGTTTCTCTCACAGAGTGTCCATTGACACCTGATCTGAGATCACTTTAAAAGACAAGGAGAAAACATATGATTCATGAAAGAACAACTGCAAAAGTTTAAAGAAAAGAGGTTTGAGTGGACTTTATGAGCTCTGTATTGTTTTCTCTGAGGAAAAAAAGGACAACATGCAAGCCTTCCTCCTCCTCTTCCTCTGCGAGATCTTGCTGCTGAGACAGACCTCCGCAAGCACAATGATAGGTACCAAAACAACGCAATTCAACTTTCTAGATAAGTTCAATATACATATTCAGGCAATAACGATATGAGCAATATCAATATTTATGAATTATTTGTTACAGATTTTTCTCTTTCTACCTGTAATGATGACTAGGGGAAAATCTAAATGCTTGAAACTTTTAAAATGAATTGCATGCAGAGGGAAAAAGACTACCTATGCCTAATGTAAGGGAATATTGTGAAGTCGTAAGTCTGGTATGCTGTGGATGCATGGTGTTGGTTAAAGGATGCAAGCTCAGCTGTTGTCAATATATCTGAATATTTTTTTATTTGTATTTGGGATAATGCAATAATTCGCTGCAATTGTGACTATTTTAGGACTCAGTAGCCTACATTTTAAATAATTTATTGATAATGTATTTGTTTAATCAGTAAATAATTGGTTTTATATTAACAGTGAATATTTTGAAAGTCTTGAAGGTCATTTGAATTAATTTGTATTGGCTGTCAGTAATGGATTCTACTGAAATTGCAAAACAAATATATTGTGTTTATATCTTTTTATTGGCAGCAAGTACAAGGTCACATCAGGAGGCAGATTTTTTGTGTGTGTATCTGTTTCCTGTTAAAGATTGAATCTGTGTGTGGTACACAGAGTTCATGAAAGCGGAGAGTATGGGAGTTGGTTGAATGTGGATTAATTTAGTTTACTTTTAGTTTCCTTTGTGCAAAGTTTCCTTTCCTCGACTGTTGCAAGTTGTGCAGACAGACATAAAGCATATTATAATAATTAAAAATTTAACGCCGTTAAGCATGAGCTGCTCATCATATGGGGGTGTCTTGTTGTAAAGCTACGCTCATGCTAGACTAAACACTAGACAAATACTAGACAAAATTTCTACGGGCGCTGCAACGGTTGCAAAATGATGTCAGGTTCTCCAGCATCTTTTTTTTGAAAACATAATTCAACCACATAACACATAACAAATGTGCAATCTACTTTACAGCAACACTGCAGATTTAAAGTTTGCATTCTTTTAATTCAGTTAAAAGGTCACTCTGCGGTGTATCAATACTCCATTGGTCTAGTCTTCTCATGATATGAATTTGCTTGTCAGAGTTCACCAAACTTGAATTTTGGAACCCAATAATGAGAAACTTCTTTGCTTGTACTTGTGTTTCCTGTTCCCCGCATTCGCATGTGTTTGAATGGAAGCCAATGGAACGAAAAGTGTTGTGTGACTGCCCCTTAACACACCTCAACATCGACTAATTATCCCATCTGTAAGGTCACTGAGGTTCACTAAACCAAAAAAGTGCTATAATTGCTATGAAAATCCCTGTCTGTCAATTCATTGTTGTCGTGCTGTGCATACTTTTCCAAAGGATTTTTTATTTTATTTTGGTGACATTGCTTTCTCATAGCTCAGAAAACTTAAAGGGGACCTGTTATGCAAAATTCACTTTTACATGGTAAAAGTGTTTCGCCATGCGAGTGTTGGGCTTGTACATCAGTGCATAATACAGCCATGTTGTGCGTTATAAACAATTGATGGGTAAAGTATTTTTAAAATGCACTCTAAAAATCTGAATGATTCGTAATAAATAAATATTCGTGATATTTTGAAGTGCCCACGACAATAATATCGTGCATGTTCATAATCGGCATAGGTTATATTGTATTGGCGAATACCGGCACATGTCGGCTTTAAAAAGCATGCAGATAATACTTTAATGATGATGAAGAACTGCAATGACCGTGATATAGATAATAATCAAATCCAAACAGATTTTAGTTTTTGGAAGTGTAGCTATCTAAGGCATGAGTTGTTGTAGAGCAGCAACTCATTTGCATTAAAGGTACATGCACAAAAACATTATGTTTTTCCTTCCACTCAAAAAATGAAGACAAATTAAGATATTTTTTTAATTAAATCGGAGCCAGTTCTGTACTCTCCATTGACAGCTAAGCAACTACCACTTTGGCGCTTCAAAAAGTCATAAAGAGATCCTAAAACTAATCCATTAGAGCCATTTAGTCCAAATTTTCTGAAGACACACGAATGATGACATTGATCAGCGAACATAAATAGAAGCTCAACCGAACCTGCTTGACTTGACAACAAACCTCTTGCAGGAGCTCAAACGTGCTGCAGAACACTATATGAACCTCATTGTTTCTTGTACGAACCTGCTTGAGCTTCCATTTACCAGAACTGATGAATGTTTATATGTGAATAAAAGCCTAAATTAAATCTGTTCAGTTTATAAAGTGATCATGTCTCTTCATAAATTTTGGACCACTCAATTTATATGGATGAGTTTTACAATCTTGAAGTGTTAAGTGAAAGTTGCTTAGCTGTCAATGGAGGGACAAAAATCGCTCAGATTTTATTAGATGGATTTTGTTTTCTGAAGACGAACTAAAGTCTATTGGGTTTGGAATGACATGAGGGTGAGTAAATAATTAATGACCCACCATTTTTGAGTGTACTATCCCTAGCAGCACAAGTGTTTTTAACATTGAAATAAGAAAATTACTTGACACCACATCAGCATATTAGAATGATTTCTGAAGGAGAATGTTAGACTGGTTGCTGGAAAGTTCAGCTTTATTTCTTTTTCAAGTAAATCTCTTATAAAAAGAAGAAACTACATTTTAAAACGTTTTAAATGGCAATAATTTTTCACAATATTACTGTATTTTCTTCTTCAAATAAATGCACCCTTGGTAAGACCTTTGAAAAACATGAAAACATGTGATCAACTCCAAACTTTTTAATGGCAATGTAGCTCTGATAATTTGGTTTTGGAAGAATTTGATGAGAAATGTTGAAATTCATGATGAAATCTCAGACTTTTGATAGCACTTTTTTTACTTTATATCTTGGCAAATCTGTGACAATGCTGTGATCTCTTCTGAAACTAAAGGACACATATGCGTGAAGCAGGTCCTGCTTAATTTGTTTTTCATTTTTTCTCACTGCCGTCTAGTAGAAATCATTCTTCAGTTTCATATTCTATGGATGACAATGTTTAAACAAACACGCATGCAACAAGTGTTTTCTCACGTTACACCCACACATGGTTTCTGACATGAAACACAGCAGTTTATCTGCTGATTCCTCTGGGAGTGATACAGAAACCAGCTCTGATGTAATAAATGGGTTGTTTGTGTGATCTGAAGCTCTGTGCTCAATGCCAGGGGTTTCCCTCAGCTGTGACCACTTTCTCTGGCATAGGAAACCATTTCATCATTCATTCTTCAGAAACACACCACACATTTATGAGAAACAAACCACAGGGGTGTTTGTGTTTTGTTGTCATAGTTCGCAAAACTAGGAAATTTTAATGGCAGAACATGATGTTTGCGTGGGAGATATTGCTGGCGGCAAGTGCATGGACGCATGACTATAACACTTTCAGTTACACTGTAGAAGCATAGCTTTTGGAAAGAGGAAAATCTGACACTGGACTGATTGTTATTACAAATCTCTTGGCAGAAACGTTGTAGATACAGTCTGATGACTGCTAATATCCCTAGCTGAAGTTATAATGGAAAGGACTGAACTGAATCTGACATCACTTTTCCTGTGTATTTGAATCCTAGAGCAAAGACACAACATGAGGGTGCGTATCAGCACTGTTGGAGACACCATTGTATTCAAGTTCATTCGGCCTCACGTGGACAGCAGACTGGAGGGATATATCCTGGGCTATGGCAGTAGCATGCTCTCCAAACAATTAATTCATCTGCCCGAGGATGGACAACCCTTTGAGACTGAGATAGGTACAATCTTTCTCTTTGGCCCTCTTTCATAGAGTTTGTTGTTTATTTAACTGATTCTCCTCTATTTTCTAGATGCTGAGCCCAAATATCTTATTGCGGTACAATCAAAGAAACCTGAGGAACCTAGGAAACAATGCACAGGTAAGATCAACCGCTGTTCTATGTTGCCGACTATGTCATATTCATGCCATTTTCTCTGAGCTGTATGTAAAATTAGTGTTGCCTTGTCTTTATAGTAAAAAAACATGATTACAAGTGCGCACAAATTTACCAGATTTCTGAGTGACATTACAGTGTTTACTTCCTTTTTATTAATATACTCGTATTTTTTAACAATTTCTTTGTGAAAAAAATACTGTAATAGGATTGCAAAATCAATTGCCATCTAAAATAGAAGCATGTTTGTTTTAAAGATTTTTACATTTATTTTCATATTTATTTCTCATTTATTAAATATTAATCAAAATAAATGAAGAGTTCAGATGCAAAAGCCTCTAAGTGCCATTTGAAATTTTCTTCTAAAATGATCATTTTTATCAAGCTTGTATATTTAAGTTCAGTAATTTCACTTAAATGGCAATGAATATTACCTTTTAATTGTCATTTAAGTGAAATTACTGAACTTAAATATACAAGCTTGATAAAAATGGTAATTTTAGAAGAAAATTTCAAATGGCATTTAGAGGCTTTTGCATCTGAACTCTTCAAATATAAATTATATACATTATAGTATATCAGCCCATTCTCACCCCCAAGGCGTCACTTAACTGACGCCTTGGGAAGCATTTGGACATGCTTCAATATCTGACGCTTTAGGCGCCCTTTAGCGTCAGTAAGATGACGCCCTAGGATCGCGTGTGCTCTACCCCCACCCCACACCTAAACCTAACCGCGTCCTCTAACTGACGCTTTCCTTTAGCGTCAGTTAGATGACGCCGTAGGATCGCGTCATGCAAGTGACGCTAAAGGGCGCCTAAAACGTCAAATATTGAAGCATGGTCAAAGGTGACGCCTTGGGGTGAGAATGCGTTGAGTATATCGACATCGGCCATCAATAAACCCATCGGTCGTCCACACGGTACCACAAATGAAATTTGAGAACAATTACAAACAGCATCTGCACTTTCAGATGCCCCAGAAACTATTTATACAAGATTGAACAACTTGTAAAATGAATCTTATAATTGCATTGGATTTGCTTTTATACAACAGTTTGAGAAGTCAATATTGAGTCAATAACTTGTTGCTTCTCTGCTGAAAATTGTCCTAAATGAGGTCAAAGCTATTTTGTCTTTATTCTGAATGAATCATTTGAAGACTTGATATAGTAAATGACATAACTGTGTCCCAATTTCCCTATACTTATACTGACACTTTATAATAATTCAACCCGGTCTCATCCCAAGACGTCATATAACTGACGTTTTGGGACGTCTTTTGACCATACGTCAATATTCGCCTTTTTAGGGCCCCCTTAAACGTCGGTAGATGAGGTTATGGCATCCTAACTCTACCCCAGACCTAAACCTAACCCGTCACCTAACCCGTCACCTAACTGACGTTAAAGGTAAAGCGTCAGTTGTATGACGGCCCGGGATCGCCATCTACCGACGTTTAAGGGGGCCCTAAAAAGGCGGATATTGACGTATGGTCAAAATACGTCCCAAAACGTCAGTTATATGACTTTTTGGGATGAGACTGTGTTGAATAATTGCACAGTAATAAAGTACATAATAATTCATTTGAAAACTATTCATTTATAGTTAATTTATAGCTAATGTAGTCTCTATATTGTTAGTATATTAATAGGCTGTATACAAATAATGTTACTGTAATTAACCGAATTAAGATTTTGATGTACTGTAGGAACATGTTGCACATGGTGAAATTCTGTTCACCTTTGGAATAAGAACTTTGCAACCGTTAAAACAACTACATTAAGTGTGACTTAAGTGTCCATATTTTTTGGCCATTAGTATGCAATAAACTTGAACTGATTACTGACTTGTGACCTGCAGGGAAAGTGGATCTAGATAAACCACTAAACGTTGTGATCGGCTCGGTGACACAGTCGTCGGTGCTGCTGTCCTGGGGGACACTAACCACCTCAATCATGGATTCCATTCTGGAGGACTGTATTGATGAAGGGTATGTGTCCTAACACGTTTATGTAGGCCTATGTATATCCATGAACCGTGTGGGTGTTATCTGGATTTATTCAGATTTAATGGTGTTGACCGTCTCTCAAGATGTGCAATTATTTTACTGACAGAAGACACAGAGCAGGTTTAGGACGATGTGTGCAGATGCCAATTTGGTGGCAAAAAAAAGAAAGAAAAAAAAACATTCCATCTTTTTTATTTGTAATAAACTAATGATGTTTTCGATCTCCAGTTAGTGTGTTTTTGCCACGATTTGGTCTTGTCTCTAGCTGTCACGTTTTGGTTCGTTTCATTGACTGTAGGTCTGTTCATGTCATGTTCCATGTCCATCATGTGATTCCCTGTTTGTCATGTGATCCTGCCATGTGTCTTGTCATTGGTTAATCGTTCATTGTTCACAGGTGTACCCCTGTCATTAGTCTGTGTATTTAAGCCCTTATGTTTGCCATGTGTCTTTGTCAAGTATTGTTTCCTGTAACCTCTGTTGTGTGAGTCTATGTCCACGGTTTTGTTTCATGCCACGTCATGCTTCTGTTTTATGTTTTGATTTTGTTGTGTTGTTACTTTTGGATAAATACTGCACTTGGGTTCTCACTACAACTTATCTCCAGTGGATCCTTAGAGTTTATTGAGAGTTTTACTGTCCTTGTGAGGACATATGATCTGCACAATGTAGGCAAAACCTGACCCACACACTCTCCTTCCTTGGACACGTTAGTGGAAAGCTTGACCTCAGCCCTCTACAAAACGTTAAATTTGTTAAAAATACATTTGTAAAATCTGGGTTTTGCCAATTAGTGCCATATCGAAATTATTGCAATATCAATTTGTTTCATTTGACTCTTAATACTGCCAATTTAAATTAAGTCATTTTCTAGAGTCTGGTTTTATTTTTTTTTTGTCTCCTCTCAGACAGTTCACAGTGCGCTACAGAGAGAAAGAACCCAGCAATACCTGGAACTACCAGACCTGTCCATCCACCAGCACCGTCATCGACAACCTCAAACCAGATGCTCTGTATGAGTTTGCGGTCCGACCAGACACTGACAAAAACATTGGAGCCTGGAGCCCACCAGTCATCCATAACACAGCTGGTGTGTCCCACTACAGATCATCATCAATTTGGTCTCACTATGGCTATAGAACTCTTTACAATATTCACAATTTTATACTAAGAACACTTGAGGAAAAGGATCATCAAAATTGAGATAACTCCAATATCTCAGTTGTTTGCCCTAGATAGCAATTATATTAAATGGAAAGGCATGAAGACTTTTGCTTAAAGGGATAGTTCACCCAAAAAAAGAAAATTCTTTCATTAATTACTCACCCTCATGTCGTTTTAACCTGTAAGACTTTCTTTTATCTTCAGAACACAAATGAAGATCTTTTTGATGAAATCTGAGCCAGTTCTGTAATCTGACAGCAACGCAACTACCGCTTTAATGCTTCAAAAAGTTCATAAAGAGATTGTAAAAAATAATCAATATAAATTGAGCAGTTTAGTCGAAATTTGGAGGGATCTAAAGAAAGCTCTCAGGTTTCATCAAAAAGATTGATAACACTTTACAATAAGGGTAACACTTTACAATAAGGTTCATTAGTTAACATTAGTTAATGTATTTACTAACATGCACTAAACATGAGCAATACATTAGTTACTGCATTTGTTCATCTTTGTTAATGTTAGTTCATGAAAATACAGCTGTTCATCATTTGTTCATGTTAGTTCACGGGGCATTAACTAATGTTAGCAAGATTTTAATCAAGTATTAGTAAATGTTGAAAATAACATTAACAAAGATTAACAAATGCTGTATATGTGCTATTCATTATTAGTTCATATTAACTAATGTAGTTAACTAATGTTAACTAACGAACCTTATTGTAAAGTGTTACCACAATAAGGTTCATTAGTTAGCCTAAATTAGTTAGCATGAACAGCACTTGTACAGCATTAATCTTTGTAAATGTTAATTTCAATATTCACTAATACTTTATTCAAATCTTTTTAACATTAGTTAAAGTGCTGTGAATTAACATGAACAAACAATGAACAGCTTTATTTTTATTAACTAACATCAACAAAGATTAACAAATACAGTAACAAATGTATTGCTCATTGTTAGTTCATGTTAATACATTAACTAATGAACCTTATTGTAAAGTGTTACCAAAAATTATTATTTGTGCTCCGGAGTTAAACAAAGTTCTTACGGCTTTGGAACGACATGAGGGGGAGGAATTAATGACAGAATTTTTGGGTGAACTATCCCTTGAAGTCTTTTCTTCTGTAGACTGAATTTCTTCAGTATTTTTCTTCCGAGAAAAAGGCGTTAGGAATGTGTTTATCATGTCTCTCATGTGAGTCATAGATTTTAATATATGTTTGTCATCAGATTCTGAGCTGTGCGCTACAGCTACATCTACTATCTACAGTACATAATTTTATAGTTATAGACCCTTATTGAGTCAACAAAATCTGACACAAAACTGATACTTAAACGAAATGTACTGTAACTGAGAAGTAACTGTATTTTTTCCTCAAAAAATACAGATCAAATAATAGAGCCATTTAATGAACTGATCAAGGCGAAGGTTAAAGTAAGTATATATAGCTGTGCTTTAGGAACAAACCGTTTATTCTCCTTTTCTCTCTCTTTTGTTAACCTTGGATGTTTCTTTTTAAACAGAAGCCAGTCTTAGCAGGCCAACCATCATTCTTGCCTCCTGTGCCAGGTTAATGACTGCTTTTTCCAGTCACTGATATGAATAATTAATAAATAGATAATGAATTTCTCTGCCACTTTCTAGTATCAAACAACATTACCCAGACAAGAGCAGCTCCTCTCCTCAAACACACTGGCCTTCCAAAGCCATGGAAAACTACAGGTAAATGACACGCTTTCACCTTTGAAGCCAAGCATAATGTGTTTACACTATAATATGCATAATATGCGCTAGGCCTACGTATTTGGAACCCCTAAAATGAAATGCATGTGAATGATTACAAAATTCAAGATATGTGGGTTAAAAAATGTAATTAATCGATATCAGACGAAGAGTGCCTTGTCAGTTTTTATCCTCCAAAATCAGCATGATTAAAACATGATATTAAGTTACAATAGTTTAATAAACAATAATTTAATTACATACAACAAAATGTTGCAGAATAATGTAATATATGAATGAATAATAGCCTTTAAAGAACCTTTGTGCCAAAAGGGTTCTTTCTTCTCATTATAGAACCTTTTTTTTAGCAATAAATGTCCTTTGAGTAAAGAACCCTATGCTACATATATAGAACCCTTTTTTCAAATAGACCTTGGAAATAAATGGGACTATTGTGTATTCTTACCGAATGTTGTTTTATTATGTCTACAATTTTCAAAAAAGTGTCAAAATGGAGATATTCACAGTATACATATAAATTGCTCTACATTGTCTATTGCTGTTCAACATCTTTTAACTTTTTTTTTGTGTTATATTTTCAAAGCTGTCTTCTCCAATGTCTGGTTTTCAATAGTTATTTTTTTCCCTCTATTATAAGTAATTGTTTCTATAACTATCCTCTTATTGCGAAAAGGTCACATTTACTTCTCTTACAAAAAAAGTTTTTACAACTACACACCTGGTTTTCTTCATAAAACAACATTAGGCCTATAACCAAAATGACAACAAAATAGTTTTTTTGTTAAATGCTTTTGTTAACCTGCGTTAACTCATATCAATTCTCCATCTATGTAAAAAACTAAACCAAATTCCTCTGTTTTATGTCTGTGTCCCGAATTGATTTAATTGGACCTCTTGGATTTCACATGTAGTGGGTCCCCTGTCAAAGATTTCAAGATAAATTCCAAATAAATGTCTTTCACATTTATCAAAACTCTGTGTGCCAGATTAGACTTTCCTGAGAGAGGGAAAAACTGAAGGAATTTTTTTTTAGCATTGTAATGTATTGTCCTTCTTTTCGGTAGCTGACATGGCATTAGGCAGTTAAAAAAACATGCATTTATGTAAACGAAATTCAACTAATGACTATAATTACTTTTCTTCTATACAAATTAACAACGTATTCTCACCCCAAGGCGTCACCTTTGACCATGCTTCAATATTTGACGTTTTAGGCGCCCTTTTTAGACGCGATCCTACGGCGTCATCTAACTGACGCTAAAGGAAAGCGTCAGTTAGATGACGCGGTTAGGTTTAGGTCTGGGGTGGGGGTAGGGTTACACGCGATCCTAGGGCGTCATCCTACTGACGCTAAAGGGCGCCTAAAGCGTCAGATATTGAAGCATGGTCAAAATGCTTCAGTTAGGTGACGCCTTGGGGGTGAGAATGGGCTGAGACTAATTAAAATATAGCAATGTACTTATAACTTCTGTGATAGGAGTGCTACATTTCTCATTATCAACAAATGGACATAAGTGCTTCTTATTTCTGTTTTTGTACTTGACCTTTACCATATATGTTTGTCATACATATTGTGTCTGTTCCTCCAGTTTCGTTTAGAGGGGCGGAAAATCCAACAACAGCTCCTGATGATCAACCTGCCTTGAATGAGGCCCTTAGTTCCACTCACACACCTATCTTTCTGGCCATGCCAAAAACCACAAGCACAGTTCGAACTCAAAATCCCACTAGTCACCTTAGCACTACCCAAACAGATCAACATACTACTTTAACCCCACATCAACCTACGACAACTCAGCCAGAACCTTCCACAACCAAACTACAAACCAGCACAACCCAACCACCACCCACTACAACCAAAACATATACCATCAAAACACAGATCCCAGTTAAAGTTCAACCATATACAGCCAAACAGCTACTGAATACAGCCCAACAACAGTTTAGTGAAACAACACCTAGTTCATCTACAACCAAACCACCACTTCACCAAACCCAACAACACACCACAAGCACTGTCCAGGAACATCCCTACCCAGCTAAGAAACAAGACACCATAACTCAAGAGAGTCTCCATACAAGGAAAATTCAGCCCAGTGCCAAGCTGCATCGGTTGACCACAACCCAACGTTCACAAGGCACGTCCAAACACCGAACCACTCACACTTTCTCAAAATCCACTCCCTATTACCAGTCCAGAACAATCACACATTCTGAACAGCCAAACGACAAACCAACAACAGAACCGAATTGGTCCACAATTGTCCATTCTCCAACAAACACAGCTTTGAATTTACCCACAACTTTAACAAACATGCAGAATGGATTAGAGTCACAGCAGACTACCGATTTGATCAGACAACCAGTATTTAGCACTAATCCATCTATCCCTGAAGAATTGTCTGCATCCCATATTTCCACAACTGAAGATTTGCCTCTTAAACTTAACACTAATCCATCTATCCCTGAAGAATATTCTGTATCCCGTATTACCACAACTGAAGATTTGCCTCTTAAATTTAGCACTAATCCATCTGTCCCTGAAGAATATTCTGCATCCCAAATTACCACAATTGAAGATTTGCCTCTTCCCAAAAACGTACAGGATTTGACTCCACACCCTATATATACTCTCACTTTTTGGCACCAGCCCCAACTCACCACCACAACACAACATTCAACAACTACAAAACAGCAAGCTAGCACTGCCAAATACAACCCCAAAACGTATTCCCACGTTGAAAACCAACCACCTAACCCTAAAAAACAGTTGCCGGGTACCCAAAAAACCCCACCAAACCTGACACCTAAAACTGCTTTCATCAAATCCGATGCTATTCAAAACTCACCCGTGGCGGAGAAGGTAACAGTGAGGATGAGTCAACCAGGTCCACCAGAGGGTAACTTCTCCCCTAGACATACGTATAGTATAGAAAAATAATAGTTCTAGTAAATTGAATTGTAGCAATCTGGTAAACTAAAATGTTTCCTAAAATGGTCCAATCCTGCATCTGGAGGGCCACTATCCTGCAGAGTTTAGCTCCTAGCCCAAAATAAAGTAAACACATCTGAATCAACTAATTAAAGGAAAACTCTGGAGCAAAATGAACCTTTGGTCTAATAAAACATCTGTACTAGTCAACTGTTCTCTGAGATTTGTTCTCATGATAATCGAATGTGAAGAGTTTTAAACTGTTTAAATGCTAGTAATTGGGGCATTTACTAAGTAAAAAGAAATCGCTAGTTTATACCACTAACAAGGCTCAAAATAGCTCCTCACTAACACAGTAACATAATGAGGGTCCCTACATGTAAAACGAAGCATTGAGGACTTTGTAAGTGTACAGACCGTTTAATAAGAAGATACTTTATGAAGACAGTTCACTTTGTGTATACAGACAGGAGCCTTGAGAGATCTTGGAAAACAGTCATGACAAGTCAAACCATGAACGCCGTGCTTAGTGATCTGAACTGTATTAACTTCAGCAAACTTTTGAACTGTATGAACGGCGTTCAGGGATCGACTTATCGAGACTATTTTCTAAGATGGCTCCTGTCTGTATACATGAAGTGAACGGTCTGTACACTTACAAAGTCCTCAATGCTTCGTTTTACATGTAGGGACCCCCATTATGTTACTGTGTTAGTGTGGGGCTATTTTGAGCCTTGTTGGTGGTATAAACTAGTGATGTCTTTTTACTTAGTAAATGCCCCCAGTACTGGCATTATACGCTAAACAATTTTTAGAGATAAACTCTTCACATTCGATTATCATGAAAACAAAGAGAACGATTGACTAGTAGGTACTGATGTTTTATTAGACCAAAGGTTCATTTTGCGCCGGAGTTCTCCTTTAAGGTCCTCTGGATTACTAGAAACTTCCAGGCAAGTGTGTTAGGGCAAGTTGGAGCTAAATTTCGACGGAGATTGTCCTTCAAGGAGCAGGATTGTTTTTCATTCATTATAATGCATTTTTTTGGGGTGGGGTGGGGGTGGGTTGCCAGAAATTACTTTAAAGTCCCCGTGAAATCAAAATTGAACCTATTTACTTTGTTAGCGCATATTGCTAGTCTTGTGGTGAACAATTCATCCGTGCAAGTGAATATATATTAAAAAAATGTTTTACCTTAGTAATCTTTAATCAAAATCTGGAAAGTTACTTCCGGTCTGGAACGGTTTCTTTTTCTGATGACGTAGGTTTCACAGTTTGGGTGGGGAAACGCTTAACCACTCCCCTCAAACCGTTAGTTTGCTATGAGCGAGAGATGGAGAGGAGGAGTGCTAGAGTAAAACCCTGCCCTCTGTTCAATATTCCGTTTCACTTGGAAATACGTCAGCACTGGAGAAAAATCGTTTGCAACTTCCGGTTCACGGGGACTTTAACAGTATGGATAACCTAGACAGGCTAAAAGCTATTGGTCAGGGATCTTCTGAAAACATTATCATTACAATATGTTTAATTTTGTATGAGACTTATGTCAGTCTGCCTCTGTATGTCAGCTAGTTCCCAGCCAAAGCCAAAGGATGAACAGCTACTATCACTGCCAACACTTACAAATGAGGTGGCCAGTAGGAATGATGGTAATGATGTCAGCTCCAGTTTTACTCCTTCTAACTGTGCTGTTTGTCACCTGTCCGTATTAACCGCATATATCTTCATTGTACACAGTATCGTTGTGATTGTCACCACCACTTCCAAATGTCATCCTGCTGGGCAATGCTATTACCACCTCACTAGAGCTGAAACAGCCCCACCACTTCCCCTCAATCATCTTTAAAACATCACCTACGGCACCAACTCTCACATTACCATGCCATGCGTTCAACTCAAATGCCTGACTACTTCATCCACTCTTAAAAACACTGCCACTGTCATAATGCTGCGCACACCATTTCATACTATCTTCACTTCTAGATTTGTTGGCTTCTTTTTTTTTGTGATCAACATTTTTATTGTTTTCTTGGGGGGTGGGGGTGGGGGGGGGGGGGGGGTTACAGACATCTCCAGTATCATATGTGACTATATAATGAGAAAGGAAAAAAGAATAAGAAAAAGAAAACATCAAAACATCACAATGGTAGTGAATGGATGAGTGAGACAATACATATAATAAGACAATACATAAAACAACAGAAATATGTTTGGCAGGTACAGTTCACATCAAAGATTGCCTAGCTGTTGTCCCTGGACCAAGAAATAATCCTAGATGAGAAAGAGTTCCAAGCTTGTACAGTCGCTGGTTGCGCCTTATTGAGTCGTGCAGTTGTATGTTCAAGATTGACAATGTTGACAAGGCTATGGATCCAGAATGATTCCATACACATATCCGGAAAGAACCAGTTTTTCAAAATTGTTTTCTTTGCAGAGGTAAACCCTGCGAACAACATTTTTAACTGAATTTGCTTTAGATTTATATCAGAATTATCATTAAGAAGACAGAAACCAGGATTCGGAACATAGAAAATGTCAAGTATATCCGCTAAAGATGAATTTACATGTAACCAGAAGTTAGAAATAACTGGACACTCCCAAAACATGTGTAAAAACGTTCCAGGTGAAGCAGTGTTACATATGTGACAGTTGTGAGTAGGTTGTAATTTCATCTGGAATCTCCTATAAGGTGTAATGTAGGCTCTATGTATTGTTTTGAAGTGTATTAGTTGGTGCGCTAGGTTCTTAGAAGTTAGACTTAGGTTATACCATATTCTTTCCCAATCTAGGTTTACATTTAAACTCCCCAACTCCCTGTTCCATATGGATTCAATTGGTAAAGTTTTGGCCCTATGCTGAATCAGTGCACTATATATTAAAGAGACAGAAGGTCTGCCCAGTAATGGTGCAATCCATTGTAACATGGGATGTGAGGGGAGAGGAGAATTCCAGGGAACTCCATACGTTTTTAATGCTGATCTTAGCTGAAGATAAACAAAATAAGAGGACGCAGGAAGATAAAAGCGTGTTCTTAAATCTTGAATGGAGCAGAGACCTTGAGTATCATATATATCACCTAAAGTATTCACCCCACGGGATGACCAGGATGGCTGATTAAATGGTTTGTTGCCACATAATAGTCTCTGGTTATGCCATAGTGGCGTATTCCGACAGAATTTAGGTGGGCCGCCCATCCACCGTTCTGCTTTCTTCCACACTTGTATAGAGTTAGCAATAATGGGCCCAAAACTCTCTTTTACTGTTTTGTTTGTTACACTAGAGAATAGGATATCTTGCAGTTTGTGTGGTAATATTTTAGCAGATTCAATCAATCTCCATGCAGTGGTAGACTGTGGGTCTAGCCATTTGCTGAGTGCCCTGATCTGAAATGACCAATAATAAAGTTCAACGTTTGGTACCGCTAGACCACCCAGCAGTTTGGGCCGTTGCAATGTATTCAAACGAACCCTGGGCCGTCTACCATCCCAAATAAAACTGGAAATCATAGAGTGAATGTCTTTAAAGTAACTTGGAGGGGGGCCAAGTGGTAACATAAAGAAAAGAAAATTAAAACGGGGCAATATGTTCATTTTAACTGTATTAATTCTACCTTGAAGAGACGTTTTTAGATTCCTCCACCTATGAATATCTGACTTTATTTTGCTTAACATAGTGTTGAAGTTGTCTCTGGTAATTTTATGTATGTTTTTATATATTGTAATGCCCAGATATGTGAAAGAACTTTTGATGTGAATATAGTTAGGGATAGGAACACTTGTGTGTATATTATTTAGAGGCATAAGTGCAGATTTTGTCCAATTAATTTTGTAGCCTGACAGACTGCTAAATTTATCAAATTCTTTAATAACTGGGTGAATAGAGGTGTCAAAGTTGTCTAAGAACAAAATTATATCATCCGCGTACAGAGATATAATATGATTATGGCGACCAATTTCCATAGGGGAGGCTGTAGATTGTCTGATGGCTTGTGCTAGAGGTTCCAGAGAGAGACAAAATAAAAGTGGCGAGAGTGGACACCCCTGTCTTGTACCACGTTGCAGGGTAAAAGGAGAGGAGATTATGTCACCTGTTAGAACACTTGCTAAAGGTGAGTGGTATAGCGCCTTGATCATTGATATGAAATTGTGCCTGAAACCGAAACGTTGTAGAACTGCCCACATATATTTCCACTCTATCCTATCGAACGCTTTCTCTGCGTCCAGTGAAAACACAGCACAAGGATTTGGGTGCGTCTCTGCCACCTCTATAATGTGTAGCAGCCTTCTCATGTTATCAGATGCATAGCGTCCCTTGATAAAGCCTGTTTGGTCTTCTTTAACTAGAGATTGAATAACTTTTTCCAGGCGCAGAGCGAGTACTTTGGCATATATCTTCAGATCACTTGTAAGTAAAGATATTGGTCTAAAGCTCGAACACTCAAAGGGATCTTTTCCCTTTTTCAAGAGCAGGGTCATAAGTGCTGTTTTTTGGTCTCTATGGAAGGTCCCATTTTGGATTGCAAAATTGAACGAATCCAGCATGAGTGTGCCCACCATGTCCCATATCTCTAAATAAAGCTCTGGAGGGAGGCCATCCAAACCAGGCGATTTGCCTTTGTTGAGACATTTCGCAGCTTTATGAAGTTCATCCAGCTCTAATACAGCTTCCAGATCATCTTGATCAGTTTGCTTGAGGCAGGGAAGCTCTAGTTGGTCAAGAAAATGTTTGCTGGTAGCATCGTCATAAGAAACCTCTGATTTGTATAGGTTTTCATAAAATGTTAAGAATGTATTATTGATGGCCTGCGGATTGGTAGTAATTTTGCCCCTAGGCGTATTTATTGCTGGGATGTGAGCTTTTGTTTCACATTCTTTAAGCATAAGAGCAAGTAGATGACTAGGCCTCTCTGCATCAAAATAGTACTTTTGTCTGGTTCTATGCAAGATAAATTCTGCCTTTGATACGGCCAGTGTCTTGTATTCATCCTTCAAAGATGCTAGCAATTTAGACTGATCATCTGAGAAGTTATGTTTTTGCAAATTCTCTAATGATTCTATTTTGTTTTCAAGATTTGTGATCTGGGAAGCTTTTGTTTTAGCTAAAGTTGAGGAGAATGAGATACAGAAACCACGTAAAAAACATTTTGTGGCTTCCCATAAAACTTGCGGATTAGGGCAATCCTTTGTGTTAATATCTAAAAAATCTTTTAATTTTGCTTTGAGTGAACTAAGAAATCCAGCGTTAGTTAGTAAAGATGTGTTTAAACGCCACCTGGGGGCCTTTGACTTGATGTTGGGCAGATCGATGTTGCATATAAGTGCGGAGTGATCAGATAATAGAATTGGCAAAATAGTAATGGACGTATGTCCTGCAATTAGGGTCGGGCTAAGAAAAATATAATCTATCCGGGAAAATGATTTATGTCTGTTGGAGAAAAATGTGTAATCTCTAGAAGTAACATTCTGTATACGCCAAATATCCACAAGATTTAAATCTTTGAGAAGTGTATTCAATAAGGTAGATGAAGGGTTGGCCGTTACATCTGAATTAGATTTATCAAGAGACGGGTTAAGGACTGCATTGAAGTCACCTCCCACCACTAAAGAACAGTCATTTTGTTCTAACAATGTGTTTTGAATGTAAGAAAAGAAAACTCTGTCAGGCTCATTTGGGCAGTATATGGACGTGAAGGCTAATTTATGATTAAGTATACAAACCCGGGCAAAAGCAAGTCTTCCATTCTCATCACTTCCAGTAACATTTACATTGCATGATATTTTCCGGTTAAGAAGGATGCATACTCCCTTGGTTTTATTTAGGGCGCACGATGACGCAATTAATCTATAATATTTATTCTGAAATCGTGCCACGTCGCATTGTTTTAGGTGTGTTTCTTGAATAAGGGCGATATCTACCTTTTTACGATGTAGATACTCAAGAACACGAGTGCGTTTGATAGCGGAGTTTAGGCCATTCACATTGAGTGATAATACGTTCAAAGACTGCATCGACATATTATATCGCTAAGATCTGTCTTGAAATATGAGCATGTTAGTCTATAAAAGAAGTGTGTAAGCATCATGCCAACTATCGCACCGATGTCCCACTGCTGATGTGATGTTCTATCAAAAAAAGTAGGAATATGTCTGTAAGGAGGGGGGAAAACTATATACAAAAACAAACACAGACCGCACGGGCAAAAAGCCGTAGGTCTGTAAGAACATAAACATCGTCTGATACGTGACCAATCCAGCCCAACGTCTGGCTATAGTATCAGATAAGCCCACACAATCGTAACACATTAAATGAATATATTCGTCACCTCTCGAACTTGTAAAACAAGAGTAACTTAGCATACTAGTTTTAGGTCATTTCAAAGAAACAATATCTCAGGGATGTAGCCTAATTACTACACTTACATTCCAAAATGCCTTGTGGTGATGATCCTAAGATTGTCCATGCAAGAAAACTTGTTAGCTGATTTGAGTTCATTCCTCCATGTCCACTAAATCGCCTTCTCTAGCGTGAGGAGAGTCCCCGTCGTTCTTTTCTTTGGTCGGGTTTGAGGCTGCATCAGTAGCACCACCATCGCGCCGTACCGGTGTAACGTTAGATGTTGACCTCCGAGGAAGAGAGTTGATAAAATCTTCGGCGGCCTGGGGGGAGTCGAACATCTTCCTCTCGCCTTTATACTGCAGTTTAATCCGCGCGGGATAAATAAGGAATGGCTCCAGGCCCATGTCTTTAGCCTTCTTCATGGTAGAACTGAAGCTCTTTCTCTTTGCTGTTGTCGCTGGACTATAATCGGGAAAGAACAAAATAGTGCCGGTCGTTGAAGCCGAAGTATGAGCGGGAGGCGAGAGCGGGTGAGCGGATGCGCGTGAGCGGGTAGCACCGTTGGCTGCGTATTTCACTGGATAAACTTGACGTGCACCGTTCAGGATAGCCGTTCTGTCTTGCCATCGCAGTAATCTGAAGATAAGGGTGCGCGGCTTGTTGGATTTAGCCTCTCCTCCATCATACACACGATGTGCCCGTTCAATTTCAATGTCTCGGTCCACCAATGAGGGGATCCACCTGGGAAGATTCTCTTTCAGGTAGCCGATTGCATCTGAACCCTCCACTGCTTCCGGTAAGCCAACCAGCCTTACGTTATTCCTTCGTCCCCTGTCCTCTTGGTCTGTCAACTTTGTAGTGAGCTGGTCTAGCTGGGTTTTTAATTCGATAACCGATCGCCTATCCTCTCGTGCAGCCGTCTGAACAGATTCCAATCGGCCTTGAATCCGTTTAGAGGATTTGGCTACATTCTCAAGTTCAGTGCTGATCTCCTTTACGGTTTCATTAGTCTTTTGGATTTCGGTTCGTAAATCACGTAGTGCTGGGACCAGGATAGAGTCTACAGCTTCCCTGACAGCGGAGGCTACGGCCATATCTAGACCGCGTTGTTGTTCTTGGAGGGCTAGCTTTATGCCATTAGCAATAGCCGTATCGAGTTCTTCCTTGGAAATGGCTGAATCCTTAAATTTTTTCTTCAAAGGCGATTGTTCATTTTCCCTTTTCCGTGCTTCTTTGGTTGGGGAAAGGCTCATGATGAGAAAGGTGTCGAAATATTTCAAGTATGTGATAGGATAATTGAAAAAATAAGATTATGCGAGCAGAGCTGAAAACTATGCTGGCATCGCTGTCGATGGGTCACGTGATCCGGTCTAGATTTGTTGGCTTCTGTTTTTGGATAGCTGGAGCTCTTTTGTGAGCTTCCCAGATACATCCCAATTCAGTCAGTCAACAATTCTGTTGACATAATCTTTAATCATGTTCTCTTGCCCATCACTGACTGTGTTTGTGTTTATCTAGGCAGAGGTATCTTCCGTAACCCTTCGGTGTCCCGCCCCTTGGCTCGAAATGTTACACAGAGACTGAGGCCTCATGGTCGTGTCCCTCTGATTTCCCCTACAAAGACTTTCAGGCCACCCCCTGTGTATCGTAACTCAACTCTCAACAGGAAAAGGGGTATAAAACATTGGCAATCTTTGCATTGACACAAACACAAAGACAGTTTTTCTTTTAATTGGGGCCTTTAACTGTTCAGTTTTCCTTTCATACTTCCAAAGATCTATCCAGCCATCCTTACTTTCATTAATTCATTCATTCTGTCAATAGTCTAACTGTTTTATTAGACTCTTTAAATGTCATGTATTGTGCAAATTCATAAATCTGTAGCACTAGGGCTGTTTTACACAACATGCAAACGCAGCAGCTGATGCACACACTGCAATGTTTCTAAATAGAAAATAAGGGGACTTTAGGTTACTGCCATGTGTATTTATTTTAATTATGGGCAAAGAAGGGCCACATTTACATTCAAAAGGTAGTTAAGTTATAGTTATATTTATTTCCATTGTTTTATTTATATCCATTAATGTATTTACAGGGGTCATAAACTGGCTTTTTAAAATTTTATTATATTGTTGTCTGAGGTCAACTTATGAGGTTTGCTTGGTTTTTGGATTCAAAAACATCAAAATGAATGTGTAATAGGTATTTTCTACCCTAGTTTTGAGCCTAGCTCAAAAATTCTCGGTTTTTATGGGAGTTTCGCACTGAAGACTTGGAAGTAAACGCCCACTTCTGTGAGTGGATAACAGTTTTGCATATTATGAGTTTCAACTCACTCGTCAGTGCACATGGGGAATGATTCGCCCATGTTCGACCCAGAGTCAGTGCGTTGCACCATTCCTGTCGGATTGAATATAGACACCTCATCACGAGGTAGGCCTATGTTATTTAGCTATGAATCGGTGGGCGGGGCTAAAATGGCCGTGTTGAAGTAGGGGTTGATCTTCTTCTGCGGGGGTGGTGTTTTATCCTCTTTGACGTCATAGTTCATCACCACTTTGAAAAGCCAGTCGTTTGCTGAGCCTGGTGTCAATAAAAGCTTTTATTGGACTAACAAGGACGTTTTCAGTTCTAAAACTTAGAAGATATTCTTAAAATATGATGACCTCTTAGATGTCAAAAGCTCAAGGAAAATTATAAAAGCCTAAATGGCAAAAGTACATATTTTGTCTGAATCCTGTAACCTGTTAAAGGTGCTCTAAGTGATGTCACATGTTTTTTAGGCTCAAACATTTTTTGTCACATACAGCAAACATCTCCTCACTTTCCGCTAGCTGCATGTACCCTAAACACACTGTAAAAAAACGCGGTCTATGCAGACAACCCAGGCTCCACAAATGGCAACAAAAACAAACTGCGGCAACCCGCTCCACGAAACATAACAAAGTGTTCCAGCCAATAACTGACAAGAAGGCCCTGGGGGTGGGGTTTGGGGGGTCAGTGCAGATGAGGAGGAGGGAGGGTCTATCTAGCCTCCATTTTGTTTGAAAATATTTTAAATGTCAACAAGAAGTCACGTCACCTGACATCGCTTAGAGCACCTTTAATATGAAATATTTAGTTTTACCTCTGTGTATATAGAGACAGTATATATATAGCCTACTGTGTTATGGATGTTAAACTTTCTCAGTTGATTGAATAGGCTTTTGTATATATCTACACATTCTCCTTTGCCTGTGGTTTGGGACTCTTAGGACCTGTTGACAAGATTCATGTTATCTAAAGGGAAACCAAACTCACACACATTCTCTTTCTGCCAGAAGTCTGTTTCTCATCCTTTCCTCCTCACACACACTGCCATTTAATTCTGCACTATACAGCTGATTACTCCTGCGACACCTGATATTACAGCTAAACTGAAACCAAACATTTCAACATTTTAGTCTTTTTTTCCCCCCTTCACATCTGGTCTCACTCTTACTCTTAATATTCTTACTCTTAATATTTATCAAAACACTCCTTTACTCATATTATTGTTTTACAGAGTTTATGTATGCTTTTTGACACATTTGTTTGTCATTTCCATTGAATGAAATGGGTTTGATCATAACAGTCTTTTGTCTCCTGACAGTGCCTCATGGTGAGCGCCATATAGGCCTTTCGGCGGCCAAAACTCCGAAGGGTCCCAGAAAGCAACTTGGTAAACTCTTTCATGGATTGTAAATGCTAATAGTTTCTCGTAAGGGGGGTTTGCAATATATCCATTACAGTCTTTGTGATGTTACTGTAGTTTCAAAGCCTGTTGTGTTCTTCAGTTTTGAGTGATTTTGTAGCCCCTGTCCCAGAAAACTGTGAATCTAATTGTGTATAGTGCTAGACTGGATACAGTTTTAACATATCGTTTAAGCTAGATGTCACTGTTTGGTAGAAAACATCTCTTGTGTAGAGAACGATTCCCTTGCAGCTGCATTTCATGACAATTCTAGGCCAAAGAAAATATTTATGTGCTGTTCATGTCATAATGGATTTTCAGAGCTTATGGTTCTTTGGAAAAGCATGGCAGATCATGAGCATGGACCCTCTCTCACTTTCTCCATCACCTTCTCCCAACCAAAGACAACACTGAAACTAAATAATAGAGAATCAAATCCCTCTGTCCTTACACAATTTCTCATCCCATCCATCCAATCCAATCCGACTTATATTCGAATGTCTACTGCCCTGAACACTTTTGGCAGATATATGATTACTTGAGGAAAATGTGAAACTGTTTTACATTCATTCATTTTTTTTTTTCATCCTAAATTAGATTCATGAAAATGATCTGAAAGGTTTTGCGGATCACATATTGGAATAATAGACCATTAAAATGAGCTGTTGGAAATAATCATGTTTTGAGATTGATTAATTGACAATATTTGGTCAATATATTATTTTAGACTTCTATTTTGAGTGAATATCCAGAATTATTGCAGTGTAGATGTGCACTCCATCATAGCATTGGTCCCGTAGAGCTGTTCTTGGAGACGTTGCAGTCGTGAGAGTCTGGACAGCATTAAAGGATCCCATTTGGCTCTCACAATCCCCTGACTGTGCGGACATTAGCCTGATGTCATGCGGTATTTTTTTTTTTTAAATTCCAACCATGTGAATCTTATTCGGAACATACTTTTCCTTCACTTCTAAATGATAGTCAGTGCAGTGTTTTCTGGCCTTGGACATTCATAGTAATGTGAAATAGCTGTTCCTTTACGCTGATATTATTTTTAATTGAAAACAAAATGAAAAGGACAATGATAAAAGACTTGGCTCTCTTTTTTTGTTTAGACTAATCTCAGCCACATCATGAGTTTATGGGTTTTAATGTTTTCATTGGGCCCTTGATTAACCAAAAACAATTTTCCTTTATATCCTGCTAAACTTATGTTTTCTTTTACAGTTAAGACAAAGCTAAACCAGGTTTCAGAGACTAAAGAAAAGGGTGAGGACACTGACAGATAAATATATCAAAGTCGATATGGCGACAGTCTTGATGTGCATATATTTTGTTGCCAATTAACAAAACACTTTCTATGTTAACTTTTAGAAAAGATTATTGATCTGAAGCAGATGGACCCAGTCCCAGATCTGAAACCTCTAGTTCCTCCCACTACTGCAAAAACAGACAAGCAAGAGACAACACCACAATCTGCTTTTGAAGGTGTGGTATAATCCATGTTCGTACACTCTAAAAAATGCTGGGTTGTTTTAACCCAACTTTGGCTCAAATATGGACAAACCCATCCACTGGCTTACATTTTTTCATTACATTTTTAACCCAACATTTGGGTTTGTTTATATTTGACCCAAAGTTGGGTTAAAACAACCCAGCATTTTTAGAGTGTACATTTATAGAAACCTATGATGACACACTGGAAACTGAAAGTATAGTTGGAGTCTTGATCTTTTGTCTTTGAATCTTAGGCAGTCGTTTTCACACCAGCGACAACTCCTCTGTATTCAGTCCTCATCCCCTATCTGAGGTGGATGCAACGGGGAAGAAACGTTTTGTAGGTAGGTATATGGGTCGAAATAATTTATTGAGGAATTTGAGGTCTATTTTCAAATTCAGTCAATTTTTGACAAGTCGTCGCTTGTCGTCTTTTTGCAGCGCCTCATGTGATCTACAGAACTGACAAACGCCCGGAGGAACCCTGCTCTCTCACGAAGTCTCTCAGCTTATTTCCTGATGAGGAGGTGGTATACATGAATGTCACTGGCCCACCCAAGACCCCTCCATCCAACCTTACTGTAGTCACAGTAGAGGGATGCCCCTCTTTCATCATCCTTGACTGGGAGAAAACAGACAATGAGACCACAGGTAGACTTAAAATAGAGAACTAGCCACAAACTAGAGACAATATAGAAGTTGGTGATGGACAATTTGAGAAATGAAAGGAAAAAATTCCAATCTGACAGCTGTAGGAATGAAAGTTCAGAGTGATAAATGACAGAATGTTCCTTTTCGGGTGAACTACCCCTTTAACTGTGGAATGTGGCAAGCCTGAAAAATATAGTTTGTGTAGCATTGGTTTGAGCTTTGGAAGTAAAATTTATGATACCATTGTTGTCAGATTATATTTTGGATTTGAAATATGTCTTTGAACGGTATACCCTTGACAAATCTTGACAGATTTTTAGTCTTTTCTCCATTCCACCAGCAAGTAGCTGTAGTTTTATGCCCATTACCTACATGAAAAATAACTGCCCAAGAGAGGTGTTGCCAAGATGGCCGCCAAGTGTACTGGCTTGCCTTAAGGCTTTGCTTAGACTTACTTTAGTTTGATTTAACAAGATACATGAGATATAAAACATTTTTAAATCTGTCATTATTTACTCATTTTAAAATAAGTCATGGCAAACCTTACATGGAAAAAAAGGATACACACTGCCATTCAAAATTTTGTCCGTAAAAAAATTCTCACTGAGGCCAGATTTATTTGCCCCAACCCCACAACACCCACCCAACAAACATTTATTTTAATAGAAATCGAATTAAATAGAAAATATTTCTATTTATATTACATTTATTTTAAATTAATTGATTAATTTAATGCATGTTAATTTAAAAAAAAAAATCTTACTGACTAACACACACACATACACACACACACACACACACACACACACCATTAAATTATATTGAATGCAATAAACCAGCTCAGACGTTCTGGAAAACATCTCCTTTGTTCTATTAAAGATGTGAAATGACAAATTCTGTTTTTTTTTTTTTTTTTTTTTTTTTTTTTGTGGTCTCAATAGAATATGACGTAGTTTCCTCAACCAAGGGTCCACATGGAGAAGAGGTGTCCATCCAAACAACAAATCAAACACATACCGCTGTGGAGAACCTGAAACCAGAGAGCAGGTATGAACACATACAATGTTCTGTGTCACAGACTTCCTAAATTAAGCTAATTGTAATTACATACACATTAACTCATAGACCTATTTTAAAGAGGTGTTAAAGCAGATTGGAATTAAAGCCATCATTTAGTCCTTTCATGAAGCAGTTTTCACTGGCCTTCAAGGTCATAATATTTGTACAGTACATCTAAATAATAATGTCTTGTTGTCTGACTAATACAATTGGTTAAGAATTGTTTACTCCATTTTCACTTGCAGTTATGAATTCAAAGTTACACCCAAAAACGAGCTGGGTGCAGGCCCAACCAGTGATCCAGTCAGGTTCAGTACTGAGTCAGGTAAGTGGAAGAGAAATGTTAATGACCTAAGACATGACTTCATTGTGAAAAAATTGTGTGTGTAAGAATATCAGCGATAAGCCCCTGGGCTCCAACCACAGTATGTTCTGAGATCATTGTGAAGTCATCTCATCCAGTGAATCTGAGCTCTATTTGTCCCAGAAGTGTCACCAGGCCAATTGTATATCAACAAGAGAAGCATTAATGATATTACTTCAGAGTCACTCTTTTCCATTACAAAAAATCAATGGCATGTGAAGCTCTTAAAAAGAAAACAAACACCATAAAAGCAGTCTGCAAAACTTTTGTGCTGTTTCAAGATGTTTGAAGTCAGACAAGAGCTTTGTGTGAAAAACAGACCTTAATGCAAATCATTCGAAAGCACCGCAAAGAGTCACAAGTTGCGTGAGAGCCCATTGTGTTTGATGTCATTGAACAATTTAAATAGACTCATGGAATAATAGAGTCAGGCAGGCTAAGGTAACTTAAGAACAAAAGATCGATCTCGCAGGTGTGTGGAATTGGCAATGAACCATTGCTGGAATGTATATGTATAGTTAGCATATAAGCATTACTGTCAGCAGCGAGAGTAATGTGGCTAATGTGCCTAATAGTTCCAATGTGTTCACTCTTCTGTGTCTATTGAAGTAATTTAGGTAAAAAACACAGCACTGGGGCCCTGATAAACTGCCAGAATATAATAATAACCAGGATATCTGACACAAGCTCTGGAAAATTGAACATCACAAAAGACAACTCAGGGGAATTTCCTGGTGCTTTTTTTTTTGGTAACTTTGTTAGAAATAAGTCCAAAAACATGCTGTTTTGATATATTCAGACCTTGAGTGGAGTTATTTACCATATCGTCTGACTTATGTTTAAAGTAGGAATTCTTACCTTTGACAATTATGTGTTTGGATCAACCTTATTCACATATGTAAAGTTTCATAGTGGATATGAAAATAGTTCATTTAATACATTTTTTGACATACACTTGCAACCTTTGGGCTTTAAAATAAATTAACACTTTTATTCAGCAAGGATGTGTTACATTGATCGAAAGTGGCAGTAAAGATATTTATAAAGATTTATAGATGTACAAAATATATATTTTTAAATAAATGTTGTTTAATGTTTGTTTTTTAAACATCATGAAAAATATATTACAGTTTTCACAAAAATATTAAGCACCACAGTTTTTAAAATTGAAAATAATAATAAATGTCGCTTGAGCACTAAATCAGCATATTAGAATAATTTCTGAAGGATCACGTGACACTGAAGACTGGAGTAATGATGCTGAAAAATCAGCTTTGCCATCTAGGAATAAATTACATTTTAAAATATATTTAAATAGAAAATAATCATGTTTAAATTGTAATAATATTTCACAATGTTACTGTATTTTTGACCAAGTAAATTCAGCCTTGGTCAGCAGAAGAGACTTCTTTTGAAAACAAACATTAATGAAAAATCACAAAATATAGATTATGAATTAAGTTGGTTTGCATCATGTTTCTTCTGTATTGCAGCTGATCCTCGCGTAAGTGAAATCCCCACTGGTAAGTATTTCAATCCAAGTAGGTAAAATACAAACACATATCGGTAACACTTTACAACACGGGTGCACTAATATGCATTAATTCATGCTTAACTAACGCACAGATAATCATGAGTTAATATATAACTCACGAAGAACTAAACCCTTAATAATGATTACTGCATCAGCTAATAAAGAGTCTATATGATTAATAGATTAAGTAATACACAAATTTCTATTAATTCAATGTGCCATTGTGTATTAATTCCTTAATACTATATTTTATTAACTAATAGTGTAAATTAATGTGTTAATTACCACAATTAGTCAAAGCTATGCACTTCAACTTCTAGTTGTCTGCTTTAATTAATCATTAGCTAACGATTTGCAAAGGTATCATTATGTTATGACTTTACTTGTTGGGGCACATCATTATTAACTAGTCATTTAGTAATTGTAGTAATTCGCACATGAATTAATTAACAATGCAGTAATTAATCATGTATTAATGCATATTATTGTACCTGTCATATTATCTGGAAGTTGAAATACAAGGCTTTGGCTCATTCTGGTAATTAACATATTAATTGACACGATTAGTTAAAAAAAATGAGTTATTATGGAATTAATCCACAATTACATATTTAATTAATAACAATTCATGTATGAACTAATACATTAACCTTATATACTCTTAATTAGTTCATAATATGGTAATCATTAATGAATAGCTTAAATAAACATTAGTTACACATTAATTCAGTATTATCTGTGCATTAGTGCACCCGTATTGTAAAGTGTTACCCATATATCTATACAAAATGTACACGTCTAATGTAGACATGTAAAATGTCTAAACTATATGGGCTCTCATAGGTAAAAATGCCATCTGGTCATCGTTTACGTTCAAAGCCGACTCATACTCAGAGTGCAATGGCCAGCAGTTCATAAAGCGGACCTGGTACCGCAAGTTTGTGGGTATCCAGTTGTGCAACTCTCTCAGATACAAAATCTACCTGAGCGACTCTCTTAAAGGTCAGTACCAACCATTTACAGACTCACCAAATATTTTTGCAAAAACTTACTTTTTAATTCTTTCTTCAGGGAAGTTCTACCACATAGGAGATCAATCAGGGTATGGGGAGGACCACTGCCAATTTGTCGATTCATTCCTGGACGGACGAACAAGTGGTCCTCTTCCGCAAAACCAATTACCACCCAGACAAGGTTTCTTCTATAACATTTAAAAACAAAACAAAAAACATAATAATCACAGACAAAAGATATGATGATTTCTCCTCTCTTATCAAGGCTTTTTCCGGGCCATGCGTCAAGAGCCAGTCAATTTTGGGGAGATCGGAGGAAATTCCATGATCAACTATGTGGCCTGGTACGAGTGCGGGATACCCATTCCCGGGAAGTGGTAGGACCTCGAGGAGCATATGGAAGACATGACGGATAAGAAAAAGCAGTTCCAATGGAAGAACCTTTTTTGATTGCGTACAGACAGAGTATGTATCTCTGTTTTTTGGTTATCGAGCACATATAGAATTATTTATACTGAAATCTCAAACAGTGCAGCAAATGCACAGAGCTGAATAAATGTTACCATTGAGAATATAGGGAAGCAGGCTCCCTTAAAGGCTAAATAAAGGTGTATATTATTTATCAAAATGTTGAATATGCCACCTAAACAAAGGCAATATTTTTAAAGCTCATGTTCTATTCTTCCATACAATTTTTGTTATAGCTCAATTATTTAGTGGTGGGACTCATTTGGGATGATGAACTGCTGCTTAGGAGTTGCCAAAGTAATTTCTAAAGGTGGATTTTCTCCCAGTAAACAGTCCTTTTTTGGATCTTGCAAGTGTTGTGCAAAAGTTACCAGGTTTACTGGCTTTATATGGTCATGGCAGGAGTTGAACAATTGGACATATCTGTAGTGTTTCAGTTACACTGGTCCCATGCGAAGTCTTTTGGGGTTGCTTTTAAAATACTGTGTATTTTAACATTTATCTGGGTGCAATGCTTTGCCCCTAGACTTTCATTCTAAGTGCTTTGACCATTTTTTTTCCATATAGAGTTTTTTTCTGTTATTTTTTTGTGAAACACGCTGTTAATAACATACTGAACCCAGAACATTCCTTCAACAGCTCAAACTCGACATTAAACAAGAAATTTAAAGAGTATAGGCCTTATAATCCATGCAGCTTTTCCATTAATTGTTGTAATTGTACTGTTTTTAATGTCAGAAATGCAATATCACTTTAACAAGGAAGTCTTTTGTTTTGTACAGAAGTTCAGTGACTGTAAAAAAGTTTTTACATTTAAATTTTGATTTATCTGCTTTACTAATAAAAGCACAAGTAATCTATTTAGTTTTATGATTTTTTTTTTTTGTGGCTGTAATAGTTTCTGAATCTGATATAAAAAAAAGATATGGCCTGTATTCAGTATATATTGATATATATATATATATATATTGGTATATATATATATATATATATGCAATGTGATCTCATGAGAATACGTATGTATGTGTACGTAAAGTGTCGTTCTATCATAGGTATATATTATTACGTTTTATATGCGCAGAAACGTATAATACTTACGTATTTACAGTATCGTAAAATATTTACGTATTGACAGCACAAAAACGTAATTTATTTACGTATGAACAAATCCACCGACGTACACATTGTACGAATCACAATTTATGCATATTAATATCGTAGCATTATGTTTTGACTATATTGCATCCCACTGTCTTATTAATTAAGTTTTCAGTCGCATTATTGATATAATACTCATAAATATTAACATTTTGCTCGTTTCGCCTGCATGGTGTTAAACAATACAATAAAACCTTAAAAAATAAATTCTTTAGCGTTACTCGTTCAACCATTTTGTAATAGTCACCTGCACCGAAAGATATATTTTTTTAACCTAGTTTGTTGTAATCCTTAAGGTGTCTAGAAAAGGAATTTTGATGTTCCCCGCACAAATTTTTGTCCCATATGTGATTTTTTGTATCATCTTTTGTGTCCGTGCTTGATTTTTGGCTGCGGAAAATGAAAACTTTAAATCTACATAGAATCTGAACAATACATCCTACAGACACAATCTACCCCATTTTCTCTTCGTCTTTGCATGAGGAATTGATAGATATGAGGATTGTCTTGATTAGATTAGATTGTCAAATTGTTGCACATTACAAATATAACATAGATATTTTAATTAAATAATACATTTTAAGATACAACGTGTTCAAAAATATGCATTAATTAAAAATCACATCATGTAATTAGGATTCACTGGTAATGGCGCCCGCTTACTTCCGGTAGTTTCGCCGGATTCGTCTATACTCTTTGGTCTGAGTTTCAAAATTTCAGAGTCTGGGTTCCCAGATAGCAAACTGACATTGAATCAACGTGGAAATATGACATTGATACAACGTTGATCTGACATTGTTTTGCTCATCGAATTAACGTTGAACCAACGTCAGACGCGTCATTCTTTCAAAACTAACGGAAAATCAACTTGAAATCAACGCGTTGTTTCAACGTTATGAAAGCAAACCAATTTTCGATTTTCATTTAGCTTTGAAGAATGCCGCGTCTGACGTTGGTTCAACGTTAATTCGATGAGCAAAATCAACGTTGTTTCAATGTCATGAGAGACGTCGTTTCCACGTTGATTCAATGTCAGTTTGCTGTCTGGGTTGGAGAAGAACGAAGCAGACAGAGGACACTTAATGAAAGTGCGGGGCGTGTGCTTGCGTTTGATTCAGCGCGAAGGAGGGCGCGGCCTTGATTTCGCGGCTTTACTTCCTGCTCACGACTGCGCATGACTGACTGGCCCCGAAACACGCAAGTGCGCAGACTCAGGTCCCAAGATGTCAGCGTCATACGGCGGCCTCGGTTCTCTCTGATGGAAAAGAGCGAAGGGGCGTCGTCCATCTTTTTTTTACAGTCTATGGTCTCACGAGTCACGCACATCATGTTCTCATGCACTCACGCAGTGAAAAATACATCGTGGGGCAAAGAATAACGTTACACCGAGTGATTACGAGAGAGAGTTCAGAGCAGCTTACTGATGATATGAAACAAAGTCTCAACTTTCAAATATTGTCATTTAAGTAATTTAAACAATACAGTTTTCAAGTTCATATCCACCGACGTTACTGACAGCATTGTTGTCGGACAAAGTTGCTTATTCGGCGTTATGATTGGCCAGGCCACCTGTCAATCAAACCCCCGTGGGCAGCAGGGCAAAATTGAAACGTCAGGTTTTAATTTGATATGACAAATACATTTATTCTATATTTACCTTGTGAACGATCGACCTGCTGCTGCAAGTAGGCCTATAGATGATGGCTGCCTGCGCCTTATTAGAATACATCAACCAATAAATCGCCTTTACTCTTCACTTCATTCTAGTCTATTCTTAAAACACAGCGTCATCATCGACCCCACAAACTTTCGGTATATTAACTTGATGGATGTATAATTTTGCTTTTTGTGTTTGATTAAACTCTATATTCGCCTAAAGGACTGGCGATAATATATCCCAACCTGGTATCACGAAAAGACGTGAAATAATCACGTTGGTCCACTTTGGAAAACGTGTAGATACGGTTTAACCCCTTCAAACGTGAAACTTACACGTTTGCGTTAACACATTCCAGTGGAGAGATACCCGGATGTTAACCTATTTTAAAAGTATAACATTTCAAATGCAGCGAACACACTAATGTCTCCTAATCTGTAAGCACTAAGGTGCTAACGGCACTGAAGTTACAGGATGTTCTTCCCGTTGCTAAGCAACGGTAGGTCAAGTATTTAAAAGGTTATGGTTAACACGGTTAACGTGGTTTAACGTCGATGTAATGCGTTGTTTTAGCGAACCTTTTGCTTCATTAAAACGTGACATTTTGACGTTTTTTTCGGCGTGGATCATGGCAAATAAATCCTTTTCACCTTGAAAATAATACTTTTTTGCATTTTAATTAATAGAACATTTCTCAGTGATCGTCAATAAAACAAAATTCTTTCTCGGTTTAATGAAAACCAATAGGTCGTTATGGCAGAGGCGATTGCGTGTAGAATAGGTCAAACCAAAAGTGGACCAACGTGATTATTTCACGTCTTGTCGTGATACTGGGTTGCGTTTATTATTATTTTGTTGGAAATGCACATTAATGTTCGATTTGATGTCGGGCTTCAACAACAGCACAAAGTGTTTGCATTGCCCTAAAATTATTTGCGAGTGGCTTCCTTTACACTATTGGAGATGCGGAGAACTTGATAAGCTTTCTGTCGTGCCATTCACAAAGTTTACCTAGCGCTCTTAGTTTTTTTTTTTTTTTTTTTTTTTTTTGCCATCTTAGGATATATTATAATTTTGAATGAAGATAATGCAATCACGATGACCATGCCGATTATGACTTACAGTCCCTAATTGGTGCCATACACTGCAGACTGCATGTTCCCATCAAGGCCTCAATGAAGGGATTTTGTGAGCAGAAAGGGGGCTCACAATGTAAATGTGCAGCCAAGTTACTATTACAATTTTTAATATTCCAGATTAGTAATATTATATCCATATTTTTAAAAGGCAGTTGACTGAGTAAAATCTCTTAGATGGTGTGTGAACATGTTCCATATCAAATCAGTGTGAAAGCAAAATGGCCAGGATCTGTGCATGACTCAAGAATTTTCAGATTCACATTTATGCACATTATTTGAACGTGGTAAGGAAAATTATAAATATCAAACTCACTGTATTACATACACTTACGCTGAGAACTGCATTTTTGCATTATACAGGTGATTACAACAGGATCCTGCGGAGACAGGTGTTTTATGACCCCATTCCCTGACCCAAACCCCAGACCAGTTGCAATGCAGCTCTAGGACAAGGGCACACAATGAAATGAGCTTTGGCCAACTAAAGGGAAGATTTCAGGGTCTGAGAAGCCTGAGGGTTGCACCTGACACGGCCTGTGACATTGCATGTGCCATATTACACAACATTGCCAACATCAGAAAAAAAAAAGTTAAATTAAGCCTAAAATAAAAGACAAGACAAATTTGCAAAACTCTTATTTGCTTAGAGTTTTATTTCAATAGTTCTTTGTAAAGAAAAGCCAGTTATTCAGTCATCTTTTTAAAAGAGATATTATGCAAGGTCAGCAATAGTACTCTGTGTGAAATAGTGTATTTTACTCTGAAGTTTATTTTGAAGCAACTATTTCTAGTGCATTTTTCTAGTTTTCTTCTAAATACTCTATTTTCTGTTGAAGACTCATATAGGGAACACATTTCACCCTGTGTCGTTTGTGTCACACACCCCTCATGCAACAAAAAAAAAAGAAAAAGTTGTCTCTACACTGCCCACCCCTGTATCACTGCTGTGTGCAGACTCTTCTGTAGGCCTTTCTGTACATGTGGACTCCTGTCAGAAATAAAGGGCATAGGCACAAGTATAAAAGCCATCAATTAAATTAAAGTACTTCCTCCAAAGAACAGTCATCTGAGAAGTTTTCTTCACTCCCCAGTGCAATGTGATTAATAACTCATGGCAAAATATTTTTACATTAACATAAGTTTATCAGTTTTTACTTTCAAAAGACAAAATTTATCATTAGGCCTCCTCAAGATTTAGCAGTTGAAATGACTAAAACAGCCAATTTGGATTATAATTTAATGCAGCAACAAATTATTTCACAGTGTACAAAGACAATTTAAATCATTAAATCGCATTTCCCAGTAATGAAGGTGTTGCTGCTACTGGTCCCTGATGTGGGTCTGTAAGAGGTGAACCCAGTGATGCCCTTCACAACAGCTCAATTCACATTCAACCCAAGGGTCAGCTCTTCTGCCAGGGTGCAGGGCAACCCGGTATCACGACAAGACGTGAAATAATCACATTGGTCCACTTTGGAAAATGTGTAGATGTCACGGTTTAACCCCTTCAAACGTGAAACGTTTGCGTTAACACATTCAAATGGAGAGATACCCGGATGTTAACCTATTTTAAAAGTATAACATTACAAATGCAGCGAACACACTAATGTCTCCTAATCTGTAAGCACTAAGGTGCTAACGGCACTGAAGTTACAGGAGTTTCTTCCCATTGCTAAGCAACGCTAGGTCGAGTAAAAAAGGTTATGATTAACACGGTTAACGTGGTTTAACGTCGATGTAATGCGTTGTTTTAGCGAACCTTTTGCTTAAACGAGGAGCTGGGGGACGCCGGAAAAATAGACGTTTTACTCATTTGGCTACTTCATTAAAACGTGACATTTTGACGTTTTTTTCGGCGTGGATCAAGGCAAATGAATTCTTTTCACCTTGAAAATAATACTTTTTT